ATTAAGTAGGAACACAGGTTAAAAGCCATTAATGAAGAGCTATTAGCACTAAGTACTAGCTCAAAAGTGCAAAACCTAATACTCAACTCAAAAGGTTGATATACCATGCATCCTGCATAATAACAGTTTTATATATGACCCTAAAACTATAGCAGACCTTTCCAGTGGTAATTTTACAAATGGCAGAGAATCCAGAAATGGCTCTGTTTCAAGAGTTATATGCATGACTGGTAACTCAATAAAATCTATCTCCTGCACATGCCTGAAAATTAATAAGGCCTTACATAACCTCAAGGTTTTGGGAGGTCATGGAACAGATGGGATTTCATCATTTCTCTACAAATATGGTGGTCCGGATATTCCACTTCTCTTTAAGCTATTTACTCCCTCTCTATGGAATCAGGCTCTTATCCTGACCGTTGGAAAACCGCGTACATTATACCACGTTATAAATCTGGAGATAAGACTGACATGAACAACTATCGGCCGATAAATATTACTCCAGTTAACTTTAAAATTATTGAAAAATTATTAATGACGAACTATCCAACTATCTATTGATTGAAAAAGTTATCAATGATACGCAACATGGATTTCCTAAAAATCTATCCTGCATGATATGTCACTTTGACTTCTTTTATTTAGTCTATTCTCTACGTAGCCAAGGATATCTAATATTAGTGCTATAACTCAAAATTTCTAAATCCTTCGACATGGTTAGCCACTAACTTCTTATAAGTAAACTCGCATCTTATGGGGTCCAAAACCCTTCGCTTGCTTGGTTTGATTCCTTCCTCAGCAACCGACATCAAATAGTTAAAATCAACTCTTCATTGTCGAATGCCGTCCCTGTTAGAAGTGGAGTAATCCAGGGTAGTGTCTTAGGTACTTTGCTCTTTTTACTTTTTATTAATGATATTTGTGAGTGTTTTTGTATGGGTAAGTCCCTTTTGTATGCAGACGATCTTAAACTGGTGTATTCATTTTCTCCACATGAGCTGAGCAATATTCAAAATTACATCAGCACGGAGCTTAACAAGGTAGCACAGTGGTGCTCGAAATGGCGACTGGAGCTTAATACAGCTAAATGTGGATGGTTATGCTTCGGCGATATATCACTCAACCTCGATCTTACCATAAATGGTGAAGTGTTATCTAGGTTACACGCAGTAGTAGACCTAGGGCTTAGGTACTCCTACGACTTGTCGTTTACCGAAAAGATAATGAATCAAACTTCCAAGTCTCAACGCCTTATAGGTTACATAACTCGGAACCCTTATAACAACAATTCACGTATTTTAATGTACAAAGTTTATGTTCGACCACTCCTTGAATACTGCGCGTTTATTCTTAGTGGCGCGCATAAAGGATAAATTAAGGCTGGAATCAGTACAGAGACGGTTTACACTTCGTACTCTTGGAACTGATTGTGCCTTGACATATAACTCTGGGTGTAATAAACTCGGGCTTGACCCTTTATGGAAGATAGGGCTCAAACTTAACCTTAACTTCTTTTTCAAAATACTTAACAAACTATCCTTCACGTCCAACCAGGCGACACATTACGACATTCGTAACTCCTTGTCTTTAGCGAAACATACGTATTCCAGATCTTCTCTCTATATGAATTACTTTACCTGTAAGTTTTCTAGACTCTGGAATAATCTACCTCAAACTATCCGTACGTTAAACTCTCTCCCATTATTTGTTCGCTCCATTAATGCATATTGCTCCTCTGAAAATGCATTAAATGCTCTAGCGCCTGTAAGTGTATCTTACTCTACAAGTGAGATTATAGGAACTTAAAATGTTTAACCACTTACTTGCTGTCCCTTTACAGACCTTACATTAACACTTTCACTAGCAACTCTAACACGTTTGAATAATATCTAACATAAACAGTGGTAACCTGACCGGTATATTATTATTAATAAAAACTGGTCTACCTTCCTCTCCCAAAACTGCACCAATACCCACAGGTGATGCGTCAGTAATAAGTACAGAATATATATTGGGTAAGTTCGAGGAACTGCATCACTTTGAAGAAACTTCAGCCAACTTCGCAAGCATGACTCTTGTTCCTCACCACATTTGAATGAATTGGATGTCAAAATACTAAATAAACAGTTGGCACGACCAGAAAAATTGAGAATAAAACGAGAATATTATTGAAGAGCACCCACTAGTGAACGTAATTTTGTGAGATTTTTTGGAAACTGTGTATTTGTCAGTGGAGCTAATCTTTTCATATCTGGTCTAAAACCATTACCATCTACTAGGTATCCAAGGCATTCGAAACTAGATACACAAAATGCGCACTTATTTGGATTCACTGTAATATTCTTCTCAATTAAACGACGCAATAAAGCAATAAGTCTCTGGTCATGAACTACTTTATCAGTAACATGAAAAATGAGATCAACTTGATAAACTTCAACACCTTCAAGATCACTTACTACCTTATTCATAACTTCCTGAAATATGGCTGGAGGACAACTAAGACCAAATGGAAGGAAGTTGTATTTGAACAGATTAAAAGGAGTGTTAATTATAAATAAAATGTATTCAAAATTACCAAATCAAAACTTGGTAATGGTACTGAAGGTACGACTAATCTTATAGTTTTGCAACTCTAAACCAGTAACACCTTCTATATTCGAAGCGTTCCCCTACCAGTTAAAATCAGAAGTCGGATGCGGGGAGGTAGGAAAGATATATTTGATACGTTACCAATATATCGAGGAACCTTTACTATAAGCTGGCTAATGAACGTAGGAGCTGTGTCCCACGCCGTGTTGCAACGTCATCTGGTACGGATGCATGACCGAAAGCCTTCAGTTAAACAAGTCCACTTAAAACAATGTGGTCAGCATCCAATGTCGAACACTTAATGAGCTATTGATTTTGGGGAATTATTTACATCTACAATACCTATAGGAGTGCCATTAGTTGTCCAAGTAAATGAAGATTGATCTTAAGGGATATATATAGTATATAGTTATTATCACGTACAAACCGGGCTAATACTAGGATCAGAGACTATGAGTATATATCGTAAGTCAGATAAAAGGTGCTCAGTTATAACGTAAGGAAGTACTGATCAGTAAAAACTCAATTAACTAGGCAAGTGTCGGTCAAAAATATTTTCTTAGATTAAAAAGTTATCGACATACGAGATAGGATGATAATCTAAGAATAATACAGCCTACAAAATAACGAGTCGAAGAATTTCTAAACCACGTCAAAAAGTGTTACCACTTTCAAATTTCGCGCGAGGTGTGACGCTGAATTTAGCTGGTTCGTCACACCATTCCCGTCTAACTTGAGTAGGCTTTCAATCATTCGACAGAGATCATCTACTTTGGTGATCTATAAGTTTACTTTATTTGTGATTTAGCAATTTTTAATGACTATTGGTCTCTTGATGGAAACCGACGTTTTTTGTCCAATAAGTTGACTTGAAATATCCTCCTTCTGGAATTCACTAACTTATCAGTAATCACAGTACTCACGGCTATCATTATTCGATCATCCTAATCGCCAAGATGTTAATCGTTTTAAGCTACACAGTATTAGTTATCCCAGTTTCAAACTTCCCAGGATTATTTCTAAAAAATGAGATCTTATTTATTGAACTTAAAAACCGGATGTAGCTTACATTAGACTTTCAGGATGTTCCTATTATGAAATAACTAGTGACGATTTTTCAAATTCAGTAGTTGTTTTGAGCTTTTATTGTGAACAATAAGATGGCAAACAGTAAGACTGACCTTCGGAATCAAGATACCCTTCAGATTTGTAAGGAATTTTATGAAGAGACTATTGTCTTATTCAGTAATTCAGTCTAAAATGAGATTTAACTTGCCATAATTGACTGCAGGATGTTCCAAATTGAGATACAATTAATTCATTACCTATTCTTCACTGACAAACCGACCATCTTCATCTATTTAAGCTAGATTGGTTGGAGTTAGTTGAAGTTTAATTCAAAACTACTAAATAAGTTCTTATCTTTATTGTTCAGGTTTAAAACGCATCTGCAATGGTATAACTTACGTTTCTACATTTCAGTAAACCAGATAAAAAGACCCGGGCGATTATTGTAAGATACTAGAGACGCAAAACTCTCACGTTTTTACAATGTTACACAGTTCAAAACCTCAATAGCTTACATAGAGAATCACATTTCAAAGTTATAAACACAGAGGAAATAAACAAATAAAACTATTCAGTACAAGTATAGTACATTGATTAATCAATCGGAATTGATTCCGCAACTTTCGGGTTTTGGTGTGAAATTTAGGCGTCACGTACAACAAGCACTCGAAGTACCTTTTTATACTGCCCGAAACGTTTAAAACGATAACAGAAAGTCATTTTTATTTTTGAAACGGTGTAGTAAAAATGATAGTGCTGTGTTTAAAATGTTCACTTACGGCTACATATATTGTACATAACGGGTGAACAGGCAATCTTCTTAAATCCTAACCTTTAACACTTTATCATGAAATCAACCTTAGGGTATTTGGCATTACATTCCATGGAAGAACTAATCAGATAACTCATGGAGCTCAGTTACCAATATGGCTATAGTGTTTCCGCATTATCTCTGATGTTAGTTAATGATGAAAGCTCTAGTCCTAAATCTTACATTAAATAATTAACTCCAGCCAAGAACTATGTGGATATTCTTAAAAGTCGACTTGGGTCCTTAACACAGTTAGGAAAGATGGATAAACCAATATCTATAGCATCAAACTGATATGTGATTGTATTTTAAATTTACAGGTAGAGTAATCTACGGAAAAATTTATTAGATTCATTAATAATGTATAGTTTGTTAACACTGCAATATTCTGATTTTTTACCATAGGGTATTCATTTACAAAGAGTTTTTTCTGATTAGTCAAGAGCTAAGTGAAAATTTGTAGCAATTCATTTTAACATTAACAGAATAGCGTTTTCTCTTAATTTTCATAGAATTTAAAAGTATCACAACTGACTGAAATTAATTTACATTTATAAGTGATCAAGTATATTCGTACAAAGAATAACAATCGTTATAATACGAGTTCAGTTGAAGATAGACTGAGAGAATTGACAACATGTTCTAAGATTTTCTCAAATAAATTTAAAATAATCTGTCGTGCTGTTTTCCTATTCTTTTAAAAGCAGTAAAACAAATCAGAAAACACAGTGACAACAAATATTAAAAAAAAGAAAATCATCTCTACATTAAGATGAAATAAAATGAATAGGTTGATTACATTGAAAAAGAAGTACAGAATATTATATATATATATATATATATATATATATATATATATATATATATATATATATACGAATCAGTAGGGAAAATGTGCGACGAAAAACTAAGGAACAAAAAACAACATTTAACTGAGTTAACTTAAATATAACGGTAGAATATTTGACAGTAATAATAATAAAGAACATGACATATAAATTTAATCATTTTGTATTAATCTTTTTTAAGAGTCAGAAATAACTGAAATTCGATTCTACGATAATTAATTTCCCGTTCAATGTTCAATGAGGCATTCTGAGAAAAAGGGAACGATAGAAATTATTAAAACCAATTATATCGCCTAGTGGTATACAGTTTGAAGAAACAGTCCAACAATTGTATAGGTACACTTTAGTTTATTATCCTTCCTATACATTGTATATTATGAAGATTATAGATTTCACACTATTCGAAACCAGTCAGCTAGATTTGCTCGAATTTACATATATTGCTTTATATCATACTACTATTATCAACTCATCTGACAAGTACAGATTCGTATACTTAGCTCTCAGTAACATTTAGTGTACGGGTTAGTAATACTATTTGGTTGCTCAAACAGTAGATGACAACGGATTTCCGACCTGTGACTTAATGGTTGAAATTTGAACGCTTTGGTCAGTGAATTATTGTTCCACTCATTGCACCACACAAAAGTTGGACGAATGGTGGCTTCTGTTATTAATTAGCCTAATGGATAACTATCCAATGTTTGATGTTGTGAATAATGTAAGATTGAGTTTTAATGGGAATGTCAGTGCTGAGATGCAAATCCCTTCAGCTAATAAGTCTTAAATATGCAAAAACCTTGCATTCAGGATACTGATAACGGTTACTATTGTCATTATGCTCAATTAACATGTTAACCCAAGTTAAATCAATTGATTGATTGAATCGAAAGACCAGTATGCAATCAGACACTGAACAATTCGGTTCGACACAGAGAAGGACAGTGTCAGAATTTTTTCACAATAAGCAAACGTTTATCAACGTTAGGTAGATTTTGTATTCAGTAAATGATAATTAATACCTATACACTATACAGGTGTATAGTTACCAACATATACTTTATGCAAGTAGTGGTTTTTTTTATCACAAACTGACATCTATTAAGGTGTTATTTAATAATAGAACATAGGACAACTTCTCTGTCACAGTATTATAAATTCTATTTAAACGCAAAAACACCAAATCAAAGGGGGGACCAAAATATATATGCGTCATACAAATACTCAAATTTATGTGTAGGCTGAGACGTTGTCCAGGTGCCCAGACCGAACCAGGCGGTTTTCTTAAAGGGAAACTTCCCGAGCCCTTCACCTAGAGGTCATATTCACAAGACAGTGAAGCAATGTTAGGAGATATGGTCCCATGGTAGCCGGTGACCAGGAGTAGATTCATACGCCGTTTGTTTTATAAGGATCCTTGAGTCCTTGTGAACTATTAGTTTGGAATCAGGTCTTTCCAATTTCACTTGGTGAATGCTTCGTACTCACCAATACGGTTTAAGTGTTGAACACTCACTTCTCGTCATCTCAACTTCGTAAATAACACCATCCAAAGTATTACTCTGAAAATTCCAGAAGCGCCCCAAAAATGCTGAGAGAATATTTTACCAGTCAATGATGAATAGAATTTTCTCAGAAGCATCTAGAGAGTGAAGAGTTACGTGTCACAGTTCTGAGTGAATGATTATCTACCCTGCTACTATGTTTAGCATGGTTTCAGAAACTTACAGAAGCCCAAGGTCATCTATGACACTATGAATGCCCGTGATTTTCTGTACATAAACTAGCCTTGGAGTAAAACCTTCTTTTCACACTTCATACTTTACATTCGTGTTCAAGCCTTCGTGTAGATTTGGCCTTGGGTTATTGGAAGAGCTTATGAAACCGATCCAAGAGTTCTGTTAGAAGATTTATTAATAATAAAAACAATAGAACATTCGCATAAAACAAATATATGCAAAGCTTTTTCTGATTGATGAATTTTTTGTTTAATCGATAACTAACTAGTTTAAGATCATTTTTATCATGGACTATAACTTGACATGTGAAGAATTGTGAAACACTGTTCATCTATTGCAGTGTAGTTTAGAACCATTCTAAAGTGAACATATACAACAACACATGGAGTTGGAACCGCACCATTTAGGATCTTGCAGAAACCATAAATTTCTGGACTAATTCTAGTTTTAAATAATCCTTTGGCTGAGTTGATGGATGCTATTTCCAAAATGAACATGTACACATATACACACAAATATATATATATATATATATATATATATATATATATATATATATATATTCAATTACCTCTATACATATAATCAAGTGAACTGGTTTTCCTTAGCAAGTGGTCTATTTAGAGGTTCTGGTCTCAGACCAACATTGAAACGATTCGCAGCGTATGTTGTATATCTTCGACGAATAGAATATCCTGTTTGTTTATTCAAGGTATTCAAAGAAGTCATATCATTTTCCTTTGATTGATGAATGCCTAAAGATGATTTAGCCATTAAATCATTCATTGATCGCGAAGGTCGTGACTTTTTATTCTGTGAATTCGAAAACCTGAAAATATAATCCGGAGAAAAAAAAGCGTTGAAATATATCAATGAGGAGTGATAGATTCCGTTGATTTGTTTAGGTAGCTTGATAATATGTAAGCATTGTGCTGAATAATGATGGTAATCGTGATAACCTGCAGTAAGTCCTTGACCTAAGTTTCGTGCCAGTTGGCAGTCAGCAACAATATGTGTCCGCAATCTTTAAAGGAATGATGGACTCTGCGAATATCAAACGCTTGTCAAACAGTCAGATAGACATTACCCGGTGACAAGATTTACATTAAATTTATCTAAACAAATCAAAATGCCCAATCGGGAGGAAGTAATCAAAACAAGCCAGTAAATAAAAACATGTGTACATATATATTCCATACAACCCTTGTAAGATGAAATTTACATGCACGTTCAGAACATAACACTGAAACAAGTGTGAACAACCTTCATTTCAACAGAATTTTAAGAGCTACTGATACCTTTGTAAATGATACAGTAGACTATGAGTTTTAAGGGTTGTTTGGATTTACAAGAAACTAATTTTATTTGGTAAATAGCAAAATTGATAACATACTCATCTCTGTACGATTCCCTCCAGGCATACTTTGGACCTTGAGAGAAAGGATTGAAATCTTGTCTATAAGTTGCAAAAGTCTTATTTTTATAATTGGGTTCGCAAAGTAATATCAGTAGGTTGGGGGGTTTTGGAGATTGTCAGATCTTTATGCTGATGAATGAGCATCTCTCAGAGCTGGATTCGGAAAGGGGAAGACAAAAACAATACGCGGTTCTGTATTAACACACCTGATTAACAGTGGCTATATGGTAGATCAAGCTAAATTAATTCGAGTAACGTATCATATACCTGACTCATTTCCCACTGGAAATCGGTCCCGTCTCCTAGATATAACAGCAGCTATAAGGATCTGAACCTATACCCTAGTCTATGTGTTCAAAAGAAATTTGTGACATACCTATCTGTTCTTTGGCCGAATAAGACTATTCTATTGACTTCATTACATCCCACATATATCTATCATTTTCACCTCTTTCCGTTTATATTCTTCACTATCTGACTATTTACAAACTTATTATCACGAGATTTCAATAATTTTTGGTGATTATTTAAAAAACTATTTGTTCAAGTTTGACCTATTTCTTCTGCTGAACTATTGTTCATATCACAACTACTGTGGTGTGATCTACTTATATCCATATAAGTAGTATATGGTGTGGGTCAGGCATAGAATGTATTTTCGCAGAAGACCAATGACGAAAGGACAGAAACGAAGCGCAATCGGTAGGAAAATGCACGAACAATGGAATTAGAGAAGCAACAGTGAAGATCGAGACTATTGGTTGTTAATTTGCAAATTGACTGTACATTGTATGGTTTTCAGAATTTACTGAGATAGTCTGTAATCTTTGCTTAAATACATTCGATTGTCCCCAACCAGTGTTCTGTTCACTACACTACTAGTACACTTTTCTTCTTACTTCCAATCAGTACTTTTCATATATTTTTTAGTTATGCAGTCTACTTCATTATGATCAATGACTTATAAATTGCCTTGAGTAGTTTAATACATATTCATGTAAATATTGATATTTTTCAGAGCAAAGCCTGATGAAGACGTAATTGAACACAATAATGTTCGCTTACATGTGCGGTTTAGATTTTTATACTTTACATCACGAACTGATTTTAGTTAGACAGACGCTGAAAACCAAGAAGCGCTTAACAGTTGTTCTGTTCTAAGAAAGAATTATTCAGTAGTGAGCTTACTAGAGAGCGAATGGACATAACAATAATACTATCATTTCAAATGTTATTGTCTTCAACAGTTTCTTACAATTTTATTTTTTCAGTAATATAGGTTTGAACAATGTCAACAAGATCATCTTAGATCTGGCTGTTGAATAAATCGATTCATGTAAATCAATAACTAAATACCTTCCCACACGCTAATTTTTGAGCAACCCTTTTCTATATAATGACTAGTACTATTAATATCTGGTTGTTATTTTGTTGCGTGAAGGTAGAGGTGGAAACCAGGATGCGTGTTTTGAATAAAGACAGAACAAATATTGATGCAGAATAGTATGAATTCACTATATTTCGTGGTTTCTCATCAGCTGCTTACAACCAAATATGCATTAGAGTTTTAGCATTGGGGTAATAAATAGGATGGAACGACTGAAATAAGTGAATGTAAAGGATTGGAATAACAAAAGGTCATCAATGATATATATATATATATATATATATATGTGCAAGGAAAGGTCAGAGGTTATTAGGTATTAGAATGAAGGGTGGCGTAATATTTGAGGTAGTTCAAAGACAGTTAAGATCAAATGTGTGATAATTTTAGAGGTAATTAAAAACAATTAGGGTGGGTTATGTAATAATTGAATAAAATTTGGAGAGTTCTATAACTAAGAGAGACAAGTGAGCGGAAATGTGTAAGAGAAAGGGTGGTTTAAGAATTGGGTAAGGTAAGAGGAATATAATAAAAACTGAATATTAACCAAAATTAACAAAGAACAAAACAAACAAACAAAAACAGACTTAATTCTGCGTTGAAAGCGACCTACGCAGCAGCTAAACTGACAACGGTGTGGGAAACTAACTGCTCACTCGAACAAACTAAAATCGACAAGTCCTCTTTTCTCAGTAGCTCCAACTGCATTTACCAATTTACATGTACGTGCCAAAGCACATACATTGGAAGAACTGGGAGAAGAGTACATGTTCGCATTTCTGAGCATGTTCCTAAGAAACTGAGGCTGCAAGGGACCAGGGCTCTCAACAGTGCGATAGCTCGACATTTACTTGACACCGGGCACAGCATTGACATTTCTCATGCCATCAAAATCATTAACAAACAAATGAGTACAGCTGCTCTCCGGTTTGCTGAAGCGATTGCGATAAAAAAAACTCAAACCGGATCTGTGTACTCAAAAAGAGACAGTGATAAACCAATTACTACCCTGGTAATCCGTTTCTGTTTGTTTGTTTTGTTTCTTGTTAATTTTGGTTAATATTCAGTTTTTATTATATTCCTCTTACCTTACCCAATTCTTAAACCACCCTTTCTCTTACACATTTCCGCTCACTTGTCTCTCTTAGTTATAGAACTCTCCAAATTTTATTCAATTATTACATAACCCACCCTAATTGTTTTTAATTACCTCTAAAATTATCACACATTTGATCTTAACTGTCTTTGAACTACCTCAAATATTACGCCACCCTTCATTCTAATACCTAATAACCTCTGACCTTTCCTTGCACATATATATATATATATATATATATATATCATTGATGACCTTTTGTTATTCCAATCCTTTACATTCACTTATTTCAGTCGTTCCATCCTATTTATTACCCCAATGCTAAAACTCTAATGCATATTTGGTTGTAAGCAGCTGATGAGAAACCACGAAATATAGTGAATTCATACTATTCTGCATCAATATTTGTTCTGTCTTTATTTAAATTCATAAAGGGAACTAACTGCATGAAATGCGTGTTTTGCCCTACTTGGGACTCGTCAGCTAGATGTTCCTATATACTAGAGTTGATCTTCACTCCGAGACTCGAACTCAGAACCTTTCATGCCTAATGCCGTCGGGTTATGCACCTGGCTACTGAGTTCAGATGAATTTCAATTCACATATATTGATTGTTAGGATCTTTCCACTGACGCTTTGGACTGCGATTGATCTGAATTCAGCATGAAATATGTCAAAAGGGACTGATCAACTGGAGTCCTGAACATCAATAGGAAGACCTGAGCAACCAAAGCGAATGAATTAACGTTCACTCTATTGCGCAAACAAGTGGCTTTATAGACACAGTAGTTAAGTGGATAACACGATCGTATCTAAAGCGATCAATACTGGTTTCGAGTCCTGAACATTAACTGAACATTAACTCTGGGGTATAAGCACATCTAACTAACAAGTCCCAAATCGGACGAAACACGTGTCCTGGATTCCACTGGTAGTTACCATCCCTCTGTGCTTAAAGTGACACAAAGTTCAAACAAGAGATACAATAGTTGGTAGTTGTGAACTGTAATTATTAAGTCATTAAATTATAAAGATTGGTTTATGAGTCAGACATGTTAGGTTTGAAGTTACATTGACTATGGTTCAGACCGATAACCAAGTAAATGATATTTATGTGGCTAAACTTCCGACAGACGATTAAATAATAATTCATGAACTTGATGCACATACATAATATTAAAGGTTAAACAATAGTGGACCACTGTAAATTATCAAGAAAGCAACTCCAGTGTACACTCGGAATAATAAAAAACACTTCGTCAAATTTACTACAATTATTATCATGAATCGGTATCGATAGATTAATACAAGCGCTTGTGTGAACTGATACAAAACGGAATGCATAGAATATTGTAGTCTTATTGGTTATATAGTATGTATTCACACATAATTAATCTTGACCTTTTATCTCATGAATATTTGTTGAATGTGAGTGCTTTTTCATATTTGTTTGTCTATATTACCCGTTTTTGTTTGAAATATGTAAGCTCAGATACAAGATTCTCTAACGAGTTGGCTAGGATTGCCAATTTCAACACTATATTGCTACAATTATTCTCTTTATTTGTTTATCTATCAGTACATTCGACTAAATATATTCTTCCCAGAAAATTTCGTGTTGAGCGTTTAATATCACCGTTATCCAAATGAGGTTAGCTGGAGTATGATGTACGAGTTTATAAGTGATGACAACCATACTGTGGAATCACGAAAATTCACAGAGACAAAGAATTACAAAAATACACGAACACGGAGTAACGTTCAACACTGATAGATTAATGAGTAATAACCGATTTCTTGTTTGCCGAGTCATCACCAGTACTAATCTTATACTATCAAACAAGTTACGAATGTGTCGATTGGTCCTAATGACTCAACATCATGTGCACGTTACTTGGACGGATAAAACTAGATTAGTACTAATGACTAGACAAACATGAAATCAGTTGTCTTCTACTGTGTAAATATCTGTCCAACAGGATGTCAATAATGATCTAAATCGCTCAATGGTAATGTATATAACTGGTACATTTGTTGAAGTTCAAATTTCGCAGAGAGCATCAGTTCCGTCAAAATTGTGAAAATGTGCTTTGTTGGCAAGTGTGAAGTAAAATGGAACTAATCACCTCCAATCAGCTAATGTTAGCAGTGTTCAATGATGTGAAAACATATTCAAATTGAAAAGCGTTAAGATTGTTAATTAAAAATTTTGAAAAATTGTGAACAGGTTTTCTGTTAATTATTATTTATAAATCTGACTAACAGTACAATTAGATAGCAAATAGGCAAATTATTAAATGTATTATTAATTTTTATATAATTTATTTAGTCTACAATTATTTTAATAGTAGACCAATTCAGGTAACATTAAGTTTAGTGTAGTTGAAACAATTGTCTTTCGACTGGATAGATCGTACACAATCGAACTCTACTTAATTTTGAACAGCTAAGTATTATCCTTTACAAATAAATTGTATGATTCAAACAAGAATACGTTAACTTTTCCTAAGTCAATGCAGCTGTATCATATTACTTCTATTAACTCTGGCAAAATATTTCTCTACGTGAGATAAGTATTGTGATGATATTGTCCAGAATGACAATGAAAGTTTCACAATCATCAATCCACCTACCCAGTTTAGAGAATAAAACAGGAGACAATAAAACTAACTACTGACCTGGGAGTTTTAATTGTTAAAAATGGTACACTAAGTGAAGGATTGCGATGATTAGTGGAGGGTAACACGCATGCTGTTGGAACAAATGTTTTCGGTGGTTTACTTCCACTGCTAAGCACTGGAGAAATAAAAAATTGTGAAGTATGAGATGAAGAAATGCCAGGTGATGAAAAAGATGTCGTAGAGATAGTATGATAATTATTTGAAGGATAATAAGAACTGGCTGATGATGATCTCTATAAAGAATACAAAAAAGTGTTATTTTGGTAATATATGTGGATCTTTCTTTCAGTTAATAAATTATAGATCTCAAATACATTAGAAGAAAGGTTTTATATCAAAACAAATAGTAATCAATAACTAATAGATTTGATACTGTGAAGTATTCTAATTCTAAATACAGACTCGATTATTGTTGACACTCGATTATTGAGTGACAGAAATAGAAGACATCAAAAATCTACCAATATCGCAAAATGCTTATTTTCGCCTATATCCATTAATCAGGAATACCATGCTTGTATTCTAACTACTTAGGTCAATAAGTAATGAGTGTATGATTACAGGTGTCCACGTGTAGTCAATCCTCCTACTGAGCTAGTTCAAGTTAGCTTCTTTTGGCATATGATCGTCCTGTGCGAATCAACTAGATATTCTCATTCCCTTCAAACAATCAAAATGTATTCTACCTAACACTGAGTTCAGATAGCCACTGGTCTACGAAACGCGGTAGCAGATAAATTAGCCAGCTGACGAGTCCCAAACAGGACGAGATTCGCATCCTGGGTTTCACTGTTAGTCACTATCTAAAAATCCTAATAGCTAGAAAAAGTAAAAAAAACGAGAAATTCTTGAGTGTTCATACATTTATTCAGTGAATGAATCCTTTTCAACGAGTGTACTTTAAAAGATGTACATTACATAAATGTATATCAAAACTAATCACATACAATTTAGATATATAATCATTTATTCTTTGATCTGGAAAAAACTGGGATGATTTATGAATAGTGAAATGAATTTTTGTGGGATTTTCAACATTAATAACAATAGCAAATAAATCATTTGACCTGATAAAACTAACTAATCATCATTAATTATCCGTAATCTCATACAGATTCAACTGTAGTTGTCTAGTTGCCAATTTCTCATACATAAACATTAATCATTAAAATAAAATGAAGCGTGATTTATGATTAAGCTCACCGCCGCCATCCTCGCCCCCCGAAAAGAAAATCCAGGTTACACTACTACTTATGAATTATCAGAAGGGGGTTTGTGGAAATTTTAGTAATTTTATAGTTGAATTGTTCTATAAAAATAATGATAAACAATAATAATGATATTTACTTTGGTCAACAATGGGGATATAAAACGTGTGGGTGTTGACCTAATCATAATTATTTCTAAATAGAAGATGAATAATGACTTAGTTAATAGAAACTCGAAAATATTCACGAAATTGTCATATTTGTAATAAACGGCTCTGTCTATCTCTATCCCTATGTCTGTTTCTCTACAGAAAAAAAATCTGAACGTAAGGTGACCCAAAAAACTAAATTTTGGTTTTCGCTTGTTGCTACTCAGAGATTTAATGATATGGAAACAACAAAATTAAGGTCAATCTTCGTACTAAGAATAAATATCTTATTAAAGGATTCAGCAAATACATGAACAAGCAATGATAGCGACTATTCTGAAGAGATCGTTCAAAAAAAGGTGCAGAACGTAATATATTACTGCAGCGGTTAGGAAGGTTGTACAGAAAGTGTTCCCTGAATATCAAACTGAATGGGTTTCTTTTCTATAACCGTCTGATAGTGAATATCGGTAACAAAGACAAATTCCTAAAATTCGCCACATTTATGTATGCTTTACACATTCAACTGATCCAGTAGAGGCTGTTATCAAGACCGAATAGTTCAATAAGACGGTCATCGTAACATCAACTATCACATCCGGTAGTCTTGACTTAATTTAGTTGATGTTAATTCCATTGAATAATTATTAAGACAATAGATCGTAATTAGGATAAACACACAATTCAAAAATACGTGATGTGGTCAACTAACAAACTGAAAACAGAACAATATACTACACTTTCGTAACATTTATAATCGATGAAAAGAAGCATGATAGAAAGAAATACAATATAATTCCAAAGAAGATGACATGACATGCTTTTAATATACTTACACAATTTGAAGTATTTCGATTCAATTGTGTATCCAATGTTGAATAAATGAGGCGATTATTGTTCTCTAACCAATTCATCGATCCTGATGTATGTGTTGATGATGATAGAGATGAAGTATGAATGAATTCATTCGAAGTAGCAGTATCTATTGCGACCATAAAAGATTGATTTGCTGGCGACTGAACAGATAAAATGGTGGATGGAGAGTGGGCTGAACTTGAATTAATCAACAATGTTGAAGATACTGATTCTTTATGACTATATAGTGTCAAAAGATAAAGAAATTGTGCAACATATCGGCCAATTGAAAGAAATGAAACACTTAACATTATAAACAGAAGTTGACAGACTACTCTATCATTGATCAAAGGTAAAGGTTGGTAACTGAAGTTAAAATAAGTCGTGTGTCGAAAAGCTAGATTTAAACAAATAGAAAGATTTTCCTCCTTCTTATTAATAAGACTGGATAATAACCTTGGGGACAGATCAGCAAATTAGTAATCTCGATCATTTATGAAAGTTTTTTAACCAATAATTAGCTACATGAGAGTAATTCGATATCTTTTGAAAATAACCTGTATAGATATATCATTTAAATCGAGACGTCATTTTTTTGCCTAAGTACGTGGGAAAAAGTGAGAATTCGCTAGGAAAAAAGAGCAAAAACACTCCAGTAGGTAAAATGCAACAAATCGTCTTGGATATTGGATGACAATAGTTACCATTGTGCTAAACACTAGCTTTGAAAGTCTTAGACTACATTGTATGTCTAGTGTTGAACACATTCAGTTTATCAAACACAACGTATAACCTGGTACATGTGCACAGGGGTTCAAGTTGCCATAACCCATTTTACACAATGATATGTTGTCAAGAATATTAGAGGTAGTAACTAATATGCGATTTGACTCTGCATTAGCCAATTGGCTATAGACAATATCAGATCTAAAATCAATATTTATCAAAGTCTAAATTGCTAAATCTCAATTTATAACAAACAGATAAACAGAGAATTGACTCAAGAATGCAATTAAGTTACTGTCATAGATTTTAATGTATATAAAATCAAGATTTAGTGATACATAAAGCATAATAAATCTTTAGGACATTCAATCTTTAAAATCCAAAATACTGAGGATTCATGTTCCCAGATATTTCACCAACTAAGATGGTGACTTAAACCCAGACTATCAAGGAGTTATTTAACACCACATAGCTAATAAATTGATCATTTATCCGACAATGGTTAGGGTCAAATTATATGGGAAATAATATTGTTTATCACTGAACACGCACATGACCATATAAAAGTAAAGAAAGTGAACATATAACAATAAAATGTGAAAAAAGTGTCCATATAATAATGCCCTGGTACGGCCGAGAGTGGGAAGAGTCCGCTCTCCCTCTCCAAATGCTCTCACATGGCCACGCGAATATATAGCCTCTGTCAGGGAAGTCCTACTCACTGCCTTCTCATGGCGGGGTGTTGTTTATAAAATTGAGAGGACGAAAAGCGAATGTCCAGCGCTTTAACCGGGTTGGTGGACACGGAAAGTTCATCTAGGGGAGTAGGAAAACCCTGATTCCAAACCAATGGTGCACATGGACTCCAGTATCCTGAAGGAACAAATGGCGTATGAATCAATCGTTGGTCACCGGTTACCATGGGTCTGCATCTCCTCACGATGTACCACTGCCTTGTGAACTAGACCTTCAGGTCAAAGGCTCGGGGTGTGGCCCCCTAAGAAAACCACCTGCTTCAGTCTGGGCACCTGGGCAGTATCACAGCCCTCATACAGATCGAATGAGATTTGTGAGGCGCATATTTATCTGGTGCTTCGTTGTACCAATATTTATGTGTTTAAATAAATAAATAATATAAAAGCAAAGAAAGTGAACATATAACAATAAAATGTGAAAAAAGTGTCTATATAATAGAATACATCAAAATTTGTCTATTACTTTAAAATCCAATAAACAATATAGTAATCTTACAAAATATTTATAAGATATTACCATTGCAAAATAATATGACAGTAATAATGAAACACTACTAAAAGAGTGACAAGAATAACAATGTTGTCTTTGTAAGTATATATATATATATATATATATATATATATATATATATATATATATATATGCTAGTTGCAACCAATGGCTATTATGAATGAAATCAATGAGATACGAATTATCTCTGGACTTCAAGGAATAACAATGAAATAATACCGTCTAAAAGAATAGATTGAATGTATACATTGAAAGACAATGAAAGATATCCGTAATGAACTAATTACTATTACTAATACTAAGTAGTGTAAGCATAGATGGATAGTGGCTAGCAGTGGAATCCAGGACGCGCGTTTCGTCTTATTTGGTACCTGCACCTTAGAGTTGATGTTCGCTTTGGGACTCGAACCCAGTACCTTTCACTTCAAACGCCATCGCGTCATCCACTTAGTTACTGAATCCTGATAGCCACTTGCTTGTGCAATGGGATGAAGTTTAAATCCACTTAGTATTGTTTAATTAAATCTTCCCATTGATGCTTAGGACTGCACCTGGTCAGTCTCTTATTGGCATATGTGCATACTGTGCGTATTGCCTCGATATAGCCTTAAGTAGTGTGTATGGAAACAGAAAAAAAAACGAGGGACGAAACTCAAAAATTATAGTAGTTATATGATAGAATCAAACAGTAATACTCTTGAGAAACGTATTGTAGAAGGGCAATAGAATCATCACTACATGTCAAAAATATGTAATGTGAAAAAATCTGTCGACTGCTGAATTACGCTACTATAGAAGTCAGTTAAATAGCCTAAGGAATGGTAAACTAAAAACAGGGTAAATCAAGTTCTTTAAAAGGTTAAGGACTTGGAAATTGTTAGTCGGTCATAAGCAACGTAGAAATCGGGAAATATGTGTATCGGTTCAAGTTGTCACAATAAACCATCACAGACGGATGAAATATCAGTTTAGTGGGAGTGGTCAAATCAACAGTAGTAGTAGAAAACATTAGCCAAAGACAATATGATTAGAGAAAGTGAAATAGCGCAGTAAAAAGTATGAGGCAATCACAAAAGCTAAGATTTAGGATAAGGTAAATAATGAGTAAATCTACTCCACTGAGATCGATTCTGCGGTATGTTAAACAGCATCTTTAATCATTGGTTATTGTAACCGCGTGAACCTCCAACGGAAACTTGATTTATCCTAGCTTGAAACTTGATAACGATGCACATCTATCCAGGATTCATTTATAAACTTCCTATTTATGATTAATTAATTTCTTGTCAATATAACAATATGTATGCTCACTAGTGATTGGCTGTAAGGAATGTTTCCTCGAGTTCTAGTGAGAAGCAGTGACCAGTGGAGTTCAACCAAGTCTGTTGTAGAGATATCAACTCACTGAAGACTATTGGTGAACGGTTGCTCAACTTCGTGGATCAGTTGAAATTAGACATTAACACCGTTGGATGCCAGCTCAGTGGTCTATCGGTTAAGTGCTCTGGTGCGAAGCTGGTGGGTCCTGGGTTCGAATCTCGCGAGTGCGGGGTCGTGAATGCGCACTGCTGAGAAGTCCCATAATAGGACGAAACGGCCGTCTAGTGCTTCCAGGTTTTCGATGGTGGTCTAGCTTAAATTGACTCATGATTTCAACTATGAAAATATAACTACTTATTATAAATGTATATTAAATTGGTTTACATTTACAGTTTATACATGAATGATTAAAATATTCACTCATGTTAAAATCAATTCATTCGTTTAAATTTCTGTACATCTTCATTGTAAATGGTTAATTGTTGTCAGAATTCACTTTGCATTCATAAACTTTACTACCAAATAGTAAAACGAATAATCCATTATGATTTAACTGTACAAGATAATTTGAATTTAGTGCTTTTTCTACCCGATGATTTCAATTTGATCTATGGTAGTATTTAAAGAATCTGTGCATTTTTTTAGATTACATAATTCTATGATATAGTAAACAATATAGTATAATCATTTTTTGAAATTGAATTTAAAATGTTATAAGTGAAAAAATTTTCTCATTCTTTTTTAGGAAAAGACATATGACCTAAATTGACCATATTATGATCCGATTTGATTTGGATAATCCAATTTTATCACACAGAAAATAAGACTAAGTGGTAGGTAGACATGAAATTCTGCTTAAGATCATTCCTTAATGTAAATTATGCAAATGTTAAAAGCACTACAAAATCCCATACTGATAATAATCATGTGCTTGTCAGAAACTTGAAGTTCTAGTGAGAATCCATGAACAAGTAAGGTCTGAGGCAGTTATCCACTGAATTTGGTGGGAGATAGTCGAACGGTAATGCGAATTGATCAAAGTTAGACAAGTAAACCATTGAATATGGGTTCATCGATTTACAGGTTAAGCGCTCGCAGGGAGAGCGACGGTCCTAGGTTCGACTTTCTGTGGTGGCAATTCAGATGCGTATTGCTGAGGAGTCTCATATAAAAGATAAAAACAAGTGTCAAATGTTCTGCGCTTTCCAATAGTTGCTTAGCTAATATAATTCAGTAATGTGAACTATGAAAATTCCGTTTAATCAATGAGTGACAATCAAAAGAAAGCACGAGCTGATCTATGCTATAATATTTACATACAATTTTAGATTTACATTTAATGGAAATAATATCAAAAATGATAATAGTACATTATAGCATAGAAATGCATGTTTTACAGTTCTACTACTATAACAGTTTATTTTGAATGTAAGGGTCGTAAACAAATAAACAAAAAGACAGATATTACTAACAAACTCACTGAATTGATTGAGTATCACTGGATGCTACTGGACTTGTTGTCATAACCTCACTCAGCTGAGTAAACCGAGATATCTACAATAAAAATATACACATAAAAATTATGGAATATGCTACTAATGAAAAGTAAGTCTACTTAGAAGTTTATATGTTAGTGGGCGGGTAGATCAAGGATAATTATTTCAAAATTGCGTAGAATGCACTGAATAAAACTCAAAAAACGTTTTAGAATAGATGAATGAAGACTATGAGTGAAATCTAGAACGTACATTTCGTTATATTTGCCAATCGTCAACTAGATGCACTAGCATTCAAGTATTGATGTTCACACCAAGACTCGAACCCATTACCTCTCATTTCAATCACAAACGAGATATTCAATGATCTACTGAGCGCAGATAACAACTAGCAAGTCCAACAAGTATGAGGTTTCTACCCTTATTGAGGGAGTTTTGAACCATCCCGTTGTTGACATTCAGGACTGAAATTTGATCAGTGTTTACTGGGATATGTGCATCACGTGTGGGTCTTCACGATACAGCCACTTTGTCTTATCTTTTAGCACAGATCTATTGTGATTATCAGTAGAGTTAAATAACTTTAAAATATTGGACTGTGGTTACACTGAGTAAATAACTCAAATCTAAACTATCTAGTAGAGGGTTCGAACCTGGTTTTACATAAATCTGCTTTAACAACTGTTATCATTTATCGTTATACGTTATTGAGATACTGAAATTAGACGAAGAAGTGTATCCGAATGCGTCATCTGATAACACACTTCCTGTTAAATAATAACAATGAGAAAACTGCCATCGAAGGAGAAGATGACTAATTTCAAACTACTTCATTAAATTTTGTTACTTACAGTTAAACGATCATCGAAACTGTTCGATTGACCTTTAGGTCGATGCCATGATCTTGTAAGGAAAGTATTTTGTTCAAAATTGCCACGATTAATAATATTAGTCTTATGATGATGTTGATAAATGGTAGTATGGGGAGATAATTTTCTCATTCCAGATTTTTCTAGTTTGGATGTTGATAAAAAACTTTCATTACACAAACTATATTTTGATATGGATGGTTCATCATAGATATTATTATTACCGGTACAAGCTGATGCATCAATAAACAGTCGACATTGTCGTTCATTTGCTGAAAAATAATAATCACAACTGTATGGCATATACATATGTATATTTATTTAAATTGAAGAAAGGAAGTATAAAAATATTCTTAAAGTTTACAGATAAAGGTAATTCTGAGGAAAAATTGCTCGAATTTACTACGAAACAGCCATCCACATAATCCAGGTTTTGAATGGCGGTCTATATAAGATCAGTTCGCGATTTAAAAACTAGGAAGATTCTATCATTTGCACAAAACTTTAGACAAATATTTGTCTAAATCGAAGAAGGCAGATTGAAAAACGTCTTTAAAGTTTACGGATCGCGGTATTTCTTAAGAAAAAACTGTTGAAAACAATTTTACATGAAACTTTACACGTTGTTCGTACGTGGAAGTTATTTGTTTGTGTAAACATTTTCCAAAAAAAGAATTCATAAGTATATTTAATACAGCTCCGTCACAATCGACACGATTCACAGCTTTCCACTAGAAATTCTTTTTGAAGTTGCCCACAAATGAGCATATGATAATTATCAGCATGGGGTTGTGAAGAAACCACGAACCGGTATAACAAAATCTAATGCCAGGGTCTTCTAATGCAGGTGTCTCATTTAGAATGAATAAACGTTATATGCACACCGATAGCACATAGGTTTGCACTTACGTATCCCGTGATATAAATATAGGTTGCTGGTCACCACTCCCTTCATATTTGCTATCTTTTTCTAGCATTTAACTCCGCCTGTAACTCTTCTAGGGCTACTGACGGTCCCAAGACCGGGTAAGGAGGGATTGAGAGTAGAATCGGCAACCATATCCCGTAGAAAACAACCTCGCTAAAACAACGTTAACCAGAATAAACAATCTAAACCACTTAAACTCTACCCTACGCGTTGAAGGAAGGACTATGACGCTTCATGATGAAAGCCGAGGTTCTTAGAAAGTCACGAGGCCGATGCCCATTCTAACAACCACAGCAACAATTTCCATAGGTACATGGAACGTCCGGACAATGTGGAAGACCGGGAAGACCAGTCGAATAGCAATGGAAATGAGGAGATACAAATCGGCAGTACTTGGAATCAGCGAAACCCATTGAACAAAAGCTGAACAGCCAAGGCCATATACGGGAGAAATGCTGCTGCACTTCGGTCACGAAGAGGAAAATGCTCCACACACTCAGGGAGTTGCTCTAATGCTGTCCAAAGAAGCTAGAAATGCACTTGTAGGATGGGAATCTCACGGATCCAGAATTATCAAAGCATCATTCAAAACAAAGAAGGAGGGAATCACAATGAATGTTATCCAATGTTATGCACCCACCAATGATAGCAACGATGACGATAAAGACCAGTTCTATGAGAAACTGCAACCAATCATAGCTAATTGCTCAAAAAAGGACCTCACCATCCTAATGGGAGACCTAAATGCTAAAGTCGGAGTGGACAGCACAGGATATGAAGATATAATTGGACGACATGGACTAGGAGAGAGAAATGAAAATGGGGAGAGATTTGCAAATCTATGTGCATTCCACAAACTGGTTATAGGCGGCACAATATTCCCCCACAAACGCATACACAAAGCTACATGGATCTCAGCGGACCACACCACAAAGAAACAGATAGATCATATTTGTATCAACAAAATATTCCAAAGGGCAATGGAAGATGTGAGAACCACGAGAGGAGCTGACATAGCTTCAGATCACCACCTGGTTGTGGCCAGAGTAAGACTGAGGCTAAAGACGCATTGGACAACTGGGGAAACAGCATTACAAAGGTTCAATACAGCCTTCCTTCAACATACTGACAAACTGAACCAATTCAAGATGATTCTCAACAACCGGCTCCAAGCCTTACAGGATCTACTGAAAGAAGAAGAAACCACTATGGAGGACAACCGGAAAGGGATCAATGAAGCACTAACTTCAACGTGTCACGAGGTTCTGGACCGTAAGAAGCATCATCATAAGGAATGGATCTATATCGAAACCTTGGTCAAGATTCAAGAAAAGAAGATCAGGAAGAAAGCAATTAACAACAGCCGAACCAGAACAGAGAAAGTCAAGGCACGAAACTAAATACACAGAGACAAACAAGCAAGTGAAGAAGAGCATAAGAGTCGACAAGCAGAAATATGTGGAAGACTTAGCAACGACAAAACAAGCATCTGCAAGAGAAGGGAATATGAAACAACCATATGATACGACGAAGAAACTAGCACGGAGATATAGTAAACCGTAGAGACCCGTCAAGGACAAAGAAGGAAAGACAATCATTGAGATTCAAGAACGGAGGAAAAGATGGGTAGAACACTTCGAGGAACTGTTGAATAGACCAGTTCCATTGAATCCACCGGAGATCGAAGAAGCACACACAGACCTTCCTATGGATGTCACTTCACCAACGATCGAAAAAATCAGGGTGACCATCAGACAAAACGGCGGGACTTGACAATATACCAGCTGAAGCACTGAAGTAACACCAAACATGCTATACCTTCTATTCAAGAAGATTTGGAAGTGTTAAATCTTGTGGCCGAGTGGATGCCTAGTTAATGTATGACTTGATGAAACCGCCAATCAGGGAGCAGCGAATTATCGATTGGAACAGTGACACACGAAACCGTGCGAGCAGTCTAGAGCGCTAACCGGTCCTACTTCTGCCTAGCCCAGCCAGTTAAGTCCAAAACACCAATAACAGCCTCTGAAATATGAATCATTATTCACAAACATACTGGGTTGATATACCAACCAAACAGACCACATCATACCATAAAATAGAAAATAACATTTGTACAATATTTAGCCAAATATGGCTGTGAATAGGGGGACAAGTAATCAATAAACTGATGATAACTCAAGAATCGTATAATAATAGTTCAAAAGTCAAAATAAAGCTAATGATAAGAGGAATATGAATATGATTAGGTTAGTTACATAACAATTATACAATAGAAAATATACATATTACATTGGTCCACAAATAGTCCTCAAAAGTTACCATTGACAATTCTCTTCGGGATACCACAGGAAGGAGGAACAAGTGCCAACGGACTGGAAAGAAGGATGCGCAATGCTGACTAGTATTGGGGATGGTTGGAAGAGAGTTAGGGGCGACCAAACCAAAGCATGGCATCAGTGCTTGAAGTCACTAACTTCTAGGCTGAGCCATGTTGGCAGATGCAGACTACCTGGTTGGGGTCCGCGTGACTATCGTAACCAATGTTTGGAGACTCTGGGTGTCATGGCTCAGAATCGATCACAATGGTGCGGGTGTATACACCCTTTACCTTCCCTTAAACCTTGAGATTAAAACTGCTCCATAACTTTCTTTCCTCCTATACTATATCCTTACATACAACCTTTCTTTTATATACTACCATCACTAAATTAACTACTTCTATGAATCCGGTGTTCATCTTGTTGTGCTAACGAGGTATGGCAACTTGGACCAATGCATAAATGTGCTTGGCCCTACGTTGTAGCTGACTGACTGACTGACCTAAGAAAGATCTGAGCAAATGTGACAATTACAGAGGCATCACACTGTTGTCAGTACCGGAAAAAGTTTTCAACAGAGTGTTGCTGAACCGGATGAAAGACACAGTAGACGATCAACTTCGAGATCAACAGGCTGTATTCCGTAAGGACCTGTAGTGCACATACCAAATCGCAACGCTACGAATCATCGTTGAACAAATAACAGAATGAGACTCATCACTATACGCCAACTTCATTGACCATGAGGAAGCATTTGAGTGTGGACTGGAGAACATTGTGGAAACTTCTTCGACACTACGGAACACCTGAGAAAATCGTCGACGTCATCCGGAATTCACACGAAGAACTTCAGTGCAAAGTCGTGCATAGAGCAGAACGGGCAGACGCATTCCACGTGAGGACTGGAGTCAGAAAAGAGTGCTAACTCTCCTTCTCTCTCTCTTTCTTCTGGTGATTGACTGGATTATCGAGACTTCCATATCTCAGAAGAAGCACGAAATAAAACGAACAGGTTGGGTGCAACCAGACAATTTGGACTTCGCGGATGACCTGTCTCTTCTATCCCATACACATCAACAAATGCAGGTCAAGAAAAACAGTGTAGCAGCAGCCTCTGCAGCAATTGACCTCAACATACACATGGGAAAAAGCAAGATCCTCAAAATACAACACGGAGAACACCAACCCAATAACACTTGATGGAAAAACTCTAGAAGATGTAGAAACATTCACGTACATAGGAAGCATTCATGATGAACAAGGAGAATCTGATGCATATGTAAAAGCGAGGATTGGCAGAGCAAGGGTCGCATTCCTACAATTGAAGAACATATGGAACTCAAAACAACTGTCCACTAATATCAAAGTCACAATCTTCAATACGAACGTCAAGACAGTCCTACTGTACGGAGATGAAACTTGGAGAACTACTACAACCATCATCAAACATGTACACGTATTTATAAGCGGTTTTCTACATAAGATACTCAATATCCGTTGGTCGGATACCGTCAGCAACAGCCTACTGTGGGGGAGAACAAACCAACTTCCAGCAGAGGAGGAAACTAAGAAAAGACGCTGGAAGTGATTAGGAAATACATCTCGGAAATCATTGAACTGCATCACGAGGCAAGCGCTTACCTGGAATCCTGAAGGGAAACGGGAGAGAGGAAGGCCGAAGAACACACTACGTCGGGAATGGAAAGCAGACATCAAAAGGATGATTAGTGACTGGAAACAACTGGGAAGGACTTCTCGGAACAGGGTTGGATGGAAAATTCTGTTGGGCCGCCCATGATCTACCATGAGGGGTAACAGGCGTCAGTAAAAATTTAGGTATTAAAAAGGATGTCTACCTCAAATCATAGTCATAATAAATAAGAGACATTAAGTTCCTATCTGTTTGATTGTTGGACAGTTAACTTAAAAGAATATTCCGAGCAATAAAATGGATCTGTATTATTTTATCAGTATAAAACAATTACATAGATATTAGGAGAAAGATGGGTCAGTCAGCTAAATTAGAAAATCGATAGAAATTAAGTTAAAGTAATGAGCTAGCAGTTAAATCGGTTTATTTTGACTATCAGGACACAGGTTTGGATCCCGTTCCATTTATTTTAATTCATATCACCAAGTAATGGTATTAGAATTTTTTTTTATAATAGGCACATAAGAAACATACAGCTCAAAGCCAAGTATATAAAATTGTACTTGTGATATCACTGTACGAAATCACTAACTGGTAGATTCAGACATCTTGACTGGAATCCGCGCAATCATAGTAACCAGTAGTTGCTGACAGTTGAGTGACATGACTCAGAAGCACACGATTTTATTCAATTTTTATCCTAGAATATTTATACTTCTTATTTCAAAAATCCATTCTCGAATAATCATATCCATGATACATAATCTTTTCTACCATCACTAATACTGTTACTACATATTTATACTAATCTGTAATTTCTCTTGATAATTTCATCTCACTATACTGATAGGTGTGACAACTTGAACTGTTGATTGTCTATATATGCTAAGTTTTCACATTGCGTATATCAGACAGTCAGAAACAATAAAATAATACAAACACACAACAAAAAAACAAACCTCACTTACTGGATGCTGAACGGTTTTTGTACAATAAATTATAGTCATTTGACATATTAGTGAAACCATCTGAAATTTTATCAACATCGTTATTATTAATAGTTTGACAAATGGTAGTACTTTGATATTTCCATTTTCTATTATGATCTGAATGAATACTTTTAAAAATATTGGAACAATTCGTGTCGATGCTTAATTTCATATCAATGTGAACATCAGGAGATGTATGTGAAGAAGCGTTGTTGATATATATTGATTTTGGTGATTGAAAGTGTTTTAATGGTGTAACACTTGAATCATTATTATTTTCAGTATCGTTTCTTGACTGAATAAGTGATCTTAGCGTTAATTCCTAAACAGGTAATAACAGGAAAGTATACAGGAGAAATTTCATTAAAATGGGAGAAGGAATTATGTTTTATAGTTAATTATAACAATTTTGATTCACATGGTGTTGTTTACTTGTATCTTCCCATTGTTATTTAGGACTGCAATGTGCATCCTGTGTGGACTTCCTCAATATTGCCTGAAGTCACAAGCTTAATAAGGAAAGATGGATAGTGGCTAGCAGTGGGATCGGGGAAGCGTGTTGCGTCCTATTTGGGACTCGTCAGCTGGATGTACTTGCATCTCAGAGTTGATGTTCACTCTGGGACTGCAACCCAGCACCGTTCGCTTCAAACGCCATCGCGTTTGTTTCATTCACAAGTGATTAAATTTGAGAAGGAAAACTAGAATTCCTACAATGAGAAGCTATGACCGATGGAGGCAAGGAGAATGCAACAACTTAAGTTGGAAATATGAAACACCAATAGATTTCAATTCAGTGAGTCTGTTATAACTGAAAAAGCTGGGCTTAGAGCAGGAGGAAATTACTGAAATTTGTACGATATAGATGTCAAACGAAAATATTTAACCGACAAAATATTGAATTTCAGGACAAAATAAATATGAAATCATGTTTTATTTGCTCGATATAACATTTGGTTACATAATTCTAGAGTAAAATCCACCTGTATTTCCACTATTTTAGTTAAGTAGGTCATTCACTGGCTAATTATTAAATGTCAGCAAAATTTGTATATGAATGGGTGTATTTGATTAATAAGTTATTTTCACAGATGAAATCATGAGTCAATTGAAGCTAGACCACCATCGAAAACCTGGAAGCACTAGACGGCCGTTTCGTCCTATTATGGGACTTCTCAGCAGTGCGCATTCACGACCCCGCACTCGCGAGATTCGAACCCAGGACCTACCAGCTTCGCGCCAAAGCATTTAACCGATAGACCACTGAGCTGGCATCCAACGGTGTTAATGTCAAATTTCAACTGATCCACGAAGTTGAGCAACCGTTCACCAATAGTCTTCAGTGAGCTGATATCTCTACAACAGACTTGGTAGAACTCCACTGGACACTGCTTCCCACTAGAACTCAAGGAAATATCTCTTGAAGTCAGTCACTAGTGATCATATGATTATAGATCAGAGGGGGTTTTGTGGAGAATTTAGAATTTTCACAGTTGAAATCATGAGTCAATTGAAGCTAGACCACCATAGGATAACAGGACGAAACGGCCGTCCAGTGCTTCCAGGCTTTCGATGGTGGTCTAGCTTCAATTGACTCATGATTTCAACTGTGAAAATAATAAGTTATTGTCAATCTTCATTTGACATCAGTTTTTATTTCATTCCTTGCATTAAGGAAATCTGTTTCCCTCGATTTCAAGTTCAATTTTAATAGGGACATAGGCATCATGCTAACATTAATCATAATACTGTTCATATTACATTAGACATTTGTCTAGACAATTTCATTTCAGCGTTATGATGAGATGAGGAAACTTGAACCGAAGCATATATATGTCAAGTTCTACGCTGTATATAACTGAATGATATTAGATGAATAGCATAACTATGAAATCTAAGATTTTGAACAAGTGTTGAAACTATAAAATTTGATAATTGAGAAGAGTAGCTTAGTGATGTTATCTTTGGTATGTGTTAATAGATACCTAAAAAACCTAGTGTTATAAACGGTAGGATACTTGATATAACGCTAGGGTTTCTTGTTAAAATAGTCCTTTCACTTTTTACACGTTTGTGGGACGTTAATTTATCTTAGACGAATACTAACACTAAATTTCCCACCCAGTGTCTATTCTACAGGACTTCAACACAACTCAGATCAAGAACACAAGATTAGACTGACTAGAACGTCTATATATTTTCACAACGAAATCCGACACAATCCAACAACAAGGAAAAGTCGATCAATAACAGTTATTACATAATAAGGATAAGGGAATATATATAACACATATAACACCTGTCACACTATCCATATGTCTGATTCAGCAAAACAACCAATCATTGTCATTCTCGCCCACACGTCACCTAGATACCTAGGATTTCATAATAATCGCCTCTAGAGACCTTACATATTTATTTCTAAAACAATAGATAATCATAAGACCTACCACGCAACTATAGAAGATGATGTTTAAATGCAATGTTACCTTGAATAAGCTTATATGCTAAATACGATTGTATTATTAATCAAGCATCGATATGGATAACATAGGGTAATTACGAATCCAACTAAATGTTTGGTGGAAGACTATATTGTGTATGAAGCTATATAAATTCTACAAGAAATAATAAAGTGAGGCCGCGTTAGCTAAACTACTCATGTTTTGAGGATATTGATAATAATGACGAACCGATAATAATGGTATAAAGATATATGCCTCTCCGAGTTGAGGATGTTAGACGTCTCTCTGTGTTCGATCATCGTTGTCTCCGAAGGATTGCTGACATCCAGTGGCAACACCATGTTAGTAATGCAGAGGTTCGGCATCGTGTGTTCGGGCACAGAGACGATAATTCAATTGGTGTCACCATCTTGAAACACCGACTTCGGTGGCTTGGACATGTTTTACGAATGTCGTCCCAGAGACTTCCACGTCGTGCATTATTTGCCGACCCTGGGACTGGTTGGAAAAAGCGGAGAGGAGGTCAGTGTATGACATGGTGTCGTGGCATGAAAGAAAGCTGCAAAGGGCTAGCTTCTGTTGGTCCTTCACGACTCCTTGGTTGGGGTCCGAGAGATGGTGCAACACAGTGGCTAGAGACGTTATCAGATATGGCTCAGAATCGAAGCCAGTGGCGATCCTGCTGCAACCTTCTTTTACTTTCTACATAAAGAATGGTTCTAACTTTCCTAACTGAAAGAGTCTTCTGGTTGTACATTTCAGTCCGCCTTATCTTTTCATCCCTTCTCTTGCTACTTTCATTATTTTGTGTGGCGCATATGTACCTGGTGCCCTTTTGTACCAATATATATGTGTTTAAATAAATAAATAATAAAAATAACAAAGAAAATAATATTAGACTAAGAAAGTTTCTACGTACATAAGTCAATTAGATCATTCTATGATTAAGATTACGACTAACTTATTGATCTGTAGGTTGGACAAGGTAAGATGACGGATTTAACAATTTTTTAGTACGTATAGTTCCGATTTATTAATCAATGTGATTTATTGTCTTTCCCGTTTGAAGGTCTTTAAGTCAGACCGATTTCAGCAGAAAATTACTAACCCGATAAATTATTGAAAACTATTGAATTGCACTGGAGCTAGGACGAATTCGCACTGGATGGATTAGCATTGTTTACTGCCTTGACTTTATCTTTGCTTAGCTACATTGAAAGGTGTTCACAAGCACAAAAATGCAAATTCTTAGAACTTCAACCAATGTAACTTGTTCCACGAGAGCAGTCGAACTCATAAATACAAAACGAGGTGAATATTCGAGATAATACATTTTTCGTCTTAGTCTCATCGTTGTAAGAGTAAAAAAACACTTTATTTAAGGAACAATCGCGAATCCATATACTATAATTTTAAACAATGTATTTTATTTTAAACCTGGCCAGTTTTTGAATTATTAATTTCAATATATACAAATGTAGAACCTGGAGAGAATTTATTGGGAAAAAATAATCTCCATTCATCTATCACTGTTTTTAGTATGGTGTGGACTATTAAACAACAGATGAAAAAAATTGAACTCTATGATTTTTGACAACACGTAGAATAAATCAGGTGATGGTAAAAGATTATAGTTAAGTAAAAATAAGATCACCTGATTGATGGATATGTTTAATAATTGTTCATCATCACTATCACCAAGATTATTATCACCTTTTACAAACTCTTTATAATTCGATAACAAAGATTCATGTAATAAACAATCAATACATTGTAAATCAGACACTTTACTCTCCGAATCAACCATTGAAGTTAACTGTGATGATGGTTGTTTCGAAAATGATTTTGTCGCTGTTATAAGTGTTGATGTACTATACTCTGCGTCTTGTTTAGCATAACGTATTACAGTTAATACCACTTCATCTGTGGTAGATGCCACCAATTTTAATGCATCATCTTGTGTTAGTCCAGTGATTGATTGACCATTTACTGAAATTAGTCTATCACCAATTTGCAAATATGGTGAAGTTAAAAAATATTTATCAGATTGTAATGGATTTATTTCATGATTATTACAATGAATTAGTTTTGCTTGACTAGCCCCACTTCCTGGATTAATTCCACGTACATATATGCCAAGATCTTCACCATTTTCAGACTATAAAGAGAGCGAGGAAAAATGTAGTAAGAACAGAAATATGCTGAGGATAAACCTCATACTCGTTTGCAGTTTTGACCTTATACATGGCAACCAACCAAAATGAAGCGAGTAATTATCAATTGCACTATCGTAATACATGATATAAGGCGTGTTTTGTTCTCTGTCATTTTTGCTCGCTTACATGAAAAATGTGAAGTTTTGTAAAATGAAAATGCCACTACATCATGCTAAGGAGGTGTCGTAATGAAAGAAAAACTACAACATAGCAAAAATCACACCCTCTATAGTGGAAATCATAACTAAATATATACAACTGAGTAACTAAATAAACGAAAATATAACCGTAATTACTGACTACGATACACTGAAATGGCTTGACAACGTGGAATTTATCTCCAGTCAAAGAAAATCATCTTTTAAAATTATGATTCTTATCTTTGATTATTGATTTAGTGAGGAACTGGAAGTAAACATGTCAAAGACTACCATGAAAATATGAAGGATCAAAGGCTATTTTATTGATCGCCTAAAATTGCAAAATTTAGAAGGAGAGTTCAACATTCAGATTATTGATATATATATATATATATATATATATATGGGTATGTCAATGATGACTAGCTTTGAGAATTTACTTAAGTTCTCTCTAATGAGACAGGATATTCATGGATGGAATCATATCACAGATCGAATAATGAAGTTGGAAATGTATATTGAAAGATGTAGTGCTTGCTATCAGACTTTAAAAGTTTTCAGTTCAATCACTAATGGAGGTGTCGATCTTTATTGCTAAGGTATTTTAAACTGGGACGAAACAGACATTCAGTGCCTTCAGATTGGGAATATTTCTGAAGTTGATATCATGATGTATTTAGCTTGATTCAAATGAATGCCTATAAAGGTACAATGTGTTCAATCAGATGACAGATAAAAGACGAGAGTGTAAGTAAACAAAATGTTATCATGAATAGTACAAATTATGCCGATTGAGTCAAATAACTGCGTGGTCAAGTCCTACTAGAATTCAAGGTATATGAAGAACTATAAGAACATGACATTGGTCATTATTCAGTGAATAATCAATCATAAATGGATTTCAGTCCCAGAAGAGGTCAGCTGAGGCCTGAATAGCTCAAGTGTTAAAGTTTCACACTATGAAGTTGGGTAACACAAATTCGGATCCACTGGAAAGTTATCAATTCCTTCAGGATTACAGGTAACTCTTGGTGACGAGTCCCAACTAATATAAAACATAGGTCACTTGTTGTCTCCTGTTGATTACTTCTAACCACTTAACATCTCGACATAGCAGATATGACGTCGAGAACCTTGAACTGGTGACAACAATGCAACATGACCAATAGAATTCAATCAACACTTAAGGACCAAACAAATATTACTGCTTGGTGACCAATTAAGTGTATTATATATATAGCATAATGAACATTTATAGACATTATTTTCCATTAGTTAAATACTACAAAACAAACAGCCCCCAAATGCCTTGGTACGGCTGAGAGTGGGAAGAGTCCGCTCTCCCTCTCCAAATGCTCTCACATGGCCACGCGAATATATAGCCTCTGTCAGGGAAGTCCTACTCACTGCCTTCTCATGGCGGGGTGTTGTTTATAAAATTGAGAGGACGAAAAGCGAATGTCCAGCGCTTTAACCGGGTTGGTGGACACGGAAAGTTCATCTAGGGGAGTAGGAAAACCCTGATTCCAAACCAATGGTTCACATGGACTCCAGTATCCTGAAGGAACAAATGGCGTATGAATCAATCGTTGGTCACCGGTTACCATGGGTCTGCATCTCCTCACGATGTACCACTGCCTTGTGAACTAGACCTTCAGGTCAAAGGCTCGGGGTGTGGCCCCCTAAGAAAACCACCTGCTTCAGTCTGGGCACCTGGGCAGTATCACAGCCCTCATACAGATCGAATGAGATTTGTGAGACGCATATGTATCTGGTGCTTCGTCGTACCAATATTTATGAGTTTAAATAAACAATAAATAAATAAACAAACAACAACAAAGAAACGAAGTACTAGGAAAAGAATAATTTTTTGTATGAATACTCTTAACTGGGAAAATACCCATACAAAACAACTATAAACAATAAGCACATTATTATTATCTACAAAAAGTAACTCACTATGGCAGCAACAATGCTAAGACCTAAACTTGAGCCAATTTTAGGTACAACGACTGAATAAGTACAATGACGACTGCATTGTCGATTAAGTGATGATGACAGTAGGGAATGATTTTTAACTAACTCACTGCTATTTTTGTTATTATTATCAATAATACTAGTGTTATTTGAGTATGTTGTAGCATTTTCAGTCTGTTATAGGAACAATAAAAAACCACCAGGGTTATTAAGATATCAACATTAAATCGGCGCAGTAGACAAATAATAATGAATATCCCATTAACAAAACATTTCAAGTAATCAGTAGTGGCTCAGCGGTTAAAGGATTTAATTTCCAGTCAATAAACGAATCGCCGGTTTAAACCTCGTTCCATATACTTCGCTTTTAATGGCTGGGTAGTAATAACTAGCCCTCACACTGTGAGCGTAACTCGAAGCTAATACCCGAATCTGTGCCTAGTAAACGCGTATACAGTGGGGATGGGAAACAATTGACTAAATAAACTGACATTGCTGATACGTTTATGGAATATCGTGTTCAAGCGTCATAAATGGCCACATAAATAAATAAATTCTAATTGATTGCCAATTATAGTTGAATAAAACTTCTGGATGCATTTGAACGTGATGGACATGTGAATGATCAGTGATTATAAATAATCAATTTGTGATATGAGACAAACTAGATCAGGAATTGTCAAGATTCATTATAAATCAATGATCAAAATATTTGTGCTTTGAGAGGTTGAATCGTCGGCACATGATTCCAATCAAATTCAACAATCTCCACAAATCCTTAGTGACAGGAATTTTGTTTGCAGATGACTGAAGATCAATTAAAAGAACTGTTTGACTTAGGTTTTGAGCTATTCGTTATTCGTCTAATTGTTAACTTTAATCCACAACTTATCATAGAAATAGACACATTTGATAATATTCAGCGTATGGACTGGATCAAGTGAATAAATCTCAGACACTGACTGAGTATATTGATCCAGTAACAATTGAGTTATTCAGTTAGAATTTATTCTTGTGGATGATACTATAACTCCGCCTGTAGCTCCTCTGGGGGTTGCTGCCGGTCCCAAGCCCGGGTAAAGGAGGAGGGTTGGGCATGGGGTTAGCGACCCCATCCCGTAGAAAACCAACTCGCTAAAAAAACGCTAACCAGAAAAAATTATTCAAACCATTTAAACTCTGCCCTGGGAGTAGAAGAAATAATTATGATGTCTCATGATGAAAGCCGAGTTCATTCGGAAGTCATGAGGCCGATGCACCTTCTTACAACCAGAGCAACAATTTTTATAGGTACATGGAATGTCCGGATAATGTGGGAGACCGGAAGAGTCATGCAAATTGCTGCAGAAATGAGAGAATACAACCTGGATGTGCTTGGAATCAGTGAAACGCATTGGACGCAGGTTGGACAACAACGAATAGCTTCAGGAGAACTTCCGTTATACTCTGGTCATGAAGAAGAAAATGCCCCACATAGACAAGGAGTTACATTGAGGCTGTCCAGAAAAGCACAAAATGCACTTATTGGATGGGAATCTCATGGACTAAGGATCATCAAAGCCTCCTTCAAAACAAAGAGAGAGGGCATTAAAATGAACGTCATGCAATGCTATGCGCCGACCAACAACTACGAGGAAGACACTAAAGACCAATTCTACGATAGGCTGTAGTCGATCTTCGAGAAGTGCTCAACTAAAGACCTGACCATTCTGATGGGAGATCTCAATGCCAAGGTTGGAAAGGACAACACTGGATACGAAGACGTCATGGGACAACATGGACTGGGAGAAAGGAACGAAAATGGTGAGAGATTTGCAAACCTATGTGCCTTCAATAAACTGGTCATAGGTGGCACTTTGTTCCAACACAAATGCATACACAAAGTCAGATGGACTTCACCGGATCACACTACGCAGGACCAAATCGACTATATCTGCATCAACAAAAAGTTCAGGAGGACGATGGAGGATGTGAGAACCAGAAGAGGAGCTGATGTAGCATCCGATCATCATTTGCTGGTCGCCAAGATGAAACTAAAACTCAAGAAGCACTGGACAACGGTGCGGACAACATCACGAAAGTTTAATACGGCCTTTCTTCGAGATGCTGACAAACTCAACACATTCAACATAGCCCTCAGCAACAGGTTCCAGGCCTTTCATGATCTACTCAATGGAGAGGGAACTACCATGGAGAGCAACTGGAAAGGTATCAAGGAGGCAATCGTTTCAACATGTCAGGAGGTTCTGGGCCAAAAGAAGCACCATCACAAGGAATGTATCACTGTTGGTACACTGGATAAAATTGAAGAAAAAAGGAACAAGAAGGCAGCAATCAATATCAGCCGAACAAGAGCGGAAAAAGCCAAGGCACAAGCCGAATACACAGAGGCAAACAAGCAGGTGAAGAGGAGCATCAGGACCGACAAACATAAATATGTGGAAGATTTAGCGATGACAGCGGAAAAGGCTGCAAGAGAGGGAAACATGAGACAACTGTATGATACAACAAAGAAACTTGCTGGAAATTACCGTAAACCAGAAAGACCAGTGAAAAGCAAGGAAGGCAAAGTAATCACCGACATTGAAGAACAACGAAACAGGTGGGTAGAACACTTCAAAGAACTCTTAAATCGACCAGCTACACTGAACCCATCTAACATCGAAGCAGCACCCACAGACCTCCCAATCGATGTTGGCCCACCAACAATTGAAGAGATCAGCATGGCCATTAGACAAATCAAGAGCGGCAAAGCAGCGGGACCAGACAACATCCCGGCAGAGGCACTGAAAGTAAATGTAGCAGCAAATGCCAAGATACTACACATCCTCTTCAGTAAGCTTTGGGACGAAGAACAAGTACCAACAGACTGGAAAAAAGGACTTCTGATCAAAATACCAAAGAAAGGTGATCTTAGCAAGTGCGACAACTACAGGGGCATCACTCTCCTCTCAATACCAGGAAAAGTCTTCAACAGGGTATTGTTAAACAGGATGAAGGATTCCGCGGACGCCCAACTTCGAGATCAACAAGCTGGATTTCGTAAGGATAGATTGTGCACAGATCAAATCGCAACTCTGCGGATCATTGTGGAACAATCAATCGAATGGAATTCATCACTGTACATCAACATCATCGACTACGAGAAGGCATTTGATAGCGTGGACAGGACGACACCATGGAGGCTTCTTCGACACTACGGCGTGCCTGAGAAAATAGTCAATATCATACGGAACTCCTATGATGGACTAAACTGCCAAATCGTCCACGGAGGACAACTCACCGACTCGTTTGAAGTAAAGACTGGTGTTAGGCAAGGTTGCTTACTCTCACCGTTTCTCTTTCTCCTGGTAATCGACTGGATCATGAAGACGTCAACGACTGGAGGAAAGCACGGGATACAGTGGACAGGCAGGATGCAACTTGACGATTTAGACTTCGCGGATGATCTGGCTCTTCTATCACAAACACAACAACAAATGCAGGAGAAAACGACCAGTGTAGCAGCAGCCTCAGCAGCAGTAGGTCTCAATATAAACAAAGGGAAAAGCAAGACTCTCCGATACAACACAATATGCACCAATCAAATTACACTTGACGGAGAAGCTTTGGAGGATGTGGAAACCTTTACATATCTGGTCAGCATCATTGATGAACACGGAGGGTCAGATGCAGATGTGAGGGCGAGGACCGGCAAAGCAAGAGCAGCATACTTACAACTGAAAAACATCTGGAACTCAAAACAATTGTCAACCAACACCAAGGTTAGAATTTTCAATACAAATGTCAAGACAGTTCTTATTGTATGGGGCGGAGACGTGGAGAACTACGAAAGCCATTATCCAGAAGATACAAGTGTTCATTAACAGTTGTCTACGCAAGATACTTCGGATCCGACGGCCAGACACTATCAGCAACAAGTTACTGTGGAGGAGAACAAACCAGATTCCAGTGGAGGAAGAAATCAGGAAGAAGCGCTGGAAGTGGATAGGACACACATTGATGAAAGCAGACAACTGCGTCACAAGGCAAGCCCTCACATGGAATCGACAAGGCCAAAGGAAGAGAGGAAGAACAAAGAACACATTACGTCGAGAAATGGAGAGAGGCACGAGAAGAATGAACAAGAACTGGAGAGAACTAGAAAAGAAGGCCCAGGACAGAGTGGGTCGGAGAATGCTGGTCGGCGGCCTATGCTCCATTGGGAGTAACAGGCGAAAGTAAGTAAGCAAGTAAGGATGATACTATGAATTATTTCCAAGTTGTAGAAATTATTAAATTTAAAAACGTGACGGTAATTTACCCCGTGAAATAACATTAACTTTTGAATTGTTTCATATAAGCATAAAATTTCTTAACAGTGAATAACTGAAAGGGATTTTCTGAAGTTATAAAGGGAAGCAGTAGTATATACATAGAGTCAACAAACACAATAAACTCATTGATAACATTGAGATGAAGATTATGATACCTTACAATGATCTGATCTATTGATTGTAACTGAACGGATCAGAGTTATCGAGCTTGCTTCTGTATCTGTAAACATTTAGTGTTTTATCAGTGTTAACTTTTCCTACTGAGGAAACTCAAAATGAAGTGGAACATGTATGGTCCAGTGAGCTCTTCCTTGTTTTCAATGATTCTCTAGCAGATATCACTCCATGATAAACATTACCATTGTATTAAACATAAACCTTCGATGAAACTACTCAATCTAGGATTGAATAGTAGTAAAAAAGTAAGAAGTCAATAAATAACATAACTGCTTATCGAAGTAAAAAAAACTCCCATGAAACACTCAAATAGATGATTTATTATTTATAGTCTGAGGCTTAACGCAATATATGTATACGTTCTGTAGAAGACTTTCATACTAAGTAGGCCTCCGATAATGTTGCCTAGAAAGAAAATGAAACCTCACCAATTACATCCGCTAACTCAAAAAAAAACAATGCCAACAAAAACAACCATCAGAGTTGCAAATCTATTTCATCACTATTTCACACATGGATGTACCGCATAGTTGTAGCTGACACTCAAAGAGAAATTCTGACCTAATTAATTATTTACAAAAAATAAACAGTATAAACAAATAATACATAAATGGAATAAATAATTATTCCCCGATTTCATTACTTTACACTTGATTTTTTCTTCAGTAGTGAACCCATTAGAAACCACCACCAAATGTTTATTCAATCTGGTGACGTCAATATTATCTTTTCCACGGTCATTACAATTAACAGGTATTTTCGAATCAATTGATAAGTAAACATTCCATAGTAAAAATTGTTTTCGTGGACTGTGATTTACACTTATTTTTTCATCGAATAAAAAATCATTTGTAGGATAAATATTAGGTCGTATTAATAAACGACACCAACCAATTTGTATAGCAGGATATAAAAACTGTTTAATTGAATCAACTGTGATAAAAGTTGTGTTTAATGTTTCATTACTAGATGATAATTGGTGCTTGAAAGAATTACTTTGACTATAGATGCCACCATCATCTTCATAGCTGATAATTGATTCATTATGATTGGCATGGTTATTATTAATCGGTACAGGATTATCAGATGGATAACAATCTTCAGGAAGCAAAAACGGTAGGCGAAGATCTAATGATTCACCGACTTCTAAATGTCTCGATGATGACGACGACGATTTGGTAGGGTTTTCTGATGCTCCATCGAATTCATCATTAGTTGTTAAATGGCACCCATTCTCTTCAGTTAGAATACGATCTGCAACCTAAAAAGTAATAGATAAGAAAAATGTTTGTGTAATTGTCTGGTATAATATCAGATAAGTTTATATATATATATATATATATATATATATATATATGAAATGGCCGGTGCACGAACTTTCAAATTTAGGTCCCACTAAACCAATTTCCCCCCTCCACTAATTGCAGGCGAAAAATCGTTGTGTTCATTAATATGAGGGCCGCCTTCGATTCGCTGGACAGGACTGTTCTGAGATTGTCTGTTGAAGAAGAGTGCGCGTGAGAATTTTGTCGAAGGCCCTATATACAAACACACACCGGGAAGAGTTAGGGCATACAATCAACTCTTTCTACCGTTTCATTGAAGCAGAGAGGTTGGGCAGCGTTGTCCAATGTCACTAATCCTGTTCAACTTGGCCACAGGTGACGTACTGGAAACAGCTTTGATGGATGTAAGTGATGGTGGTGCGGATGTGTCACCTAGACAGAAACTTTTTGATCTTAAGTATGCGAATGATATTGCCTTACTGTGTGCTGATACATAAGTCATGCAATCTGCACTTAATTAGCATACAATCAATTTCCGTAGTTGTGGCATGTGCTTTGCACCTTTTACGTACAAAGTACTTTTACAAGGCTGGCAGTAGCCTGTGAGTGCCCTCACTTTTGATAGTGAGCAGTTCAAAGTAGTCGAGAAGTTTGTGGGACCTGTTGGTCCTTCACAACTCCCTGGTTGACGTCCTAAAGATGGTGCAACGTAGTGGATTGAGACGTTATCAGATATGTTCTAGAATAGAAGCCAGTAGCGGTCCTGCTATAACTCTTTTTCAATTTTTTCATATAAATGAGAAATACTTAAACTGAAAGAATCTATTCTGGTTGTATTTTTCTTAACTGGACTGCTTCTGACATTGTTATGTTTTTCTTTCACTCTCACAGACTAATTTCCATTCGTTTTCTTTATTTTATATTAAACCTCCTTTTTCTTTATCTTCACCATTTCATTCTTATCGTATGACGCATATATATTTCGGTGCGCATATTACGAATGTTAATGTGTCTAAATAAATAGAAAAAGAAAACTGATCGATTCTCTGTGAGTGAGAGCTGAATTAATCTATACCGATGATATAATAGACGGCGAACTTGATAAACCACAGTGTATACTGATCAAAAATGAGTATTCATATAGATTCATTGAAAAAAACTTGAAACCAAAGCAACGACGTGAAAGTGTGTCTATGGTAACAAAGATGATGCAATTTATGAACATTTAGTTTAAAGGAGATATTGCGGTATGAATTCTGAAAAACGGACTTTCGATATCTCTGAGAAAAAAATATTCTAGCCGCTTGGACTTGTAGTGCCGTGCTTCAATAATAGTTCACTTCGATAACCGTTATTATACCAATCTTAACGGTGTATAAAATCAGAAGGCAAAAGGAAGCGGCAACTACATTTTTATTCATGAATGATGCAGACCAGAAAGTTGTAAGCACATGAGCAAATGTAAGCAAGCGAAGCAAAGATGATGCATAGCGGAGATAGCTGGGAAGCCAACTCGCTATGAGCAAGCATTACTCAATATTTATAATCAGACAAAAGTGAATGACAGACATATGATAAATAAGATACGAAGTGTGCATACATATACGCTCATATAAAAATATAGTCAAGGTTAATAAGCGAACAATTAACAAGATCAAAATATGACTCATAATATATAGGCGAATCGGCTTGGCCAGTAGCTAGAATAAAGTATATGGGCTTAACATATAAACTGATACTACAGTCTTAGTATTATCTTCTCCCGTCATGCTTGAATCCGTAGTTGTGTGAAGGACAAGCTCCCACTTGAGTTAAATCAATGAATATCTATCAAATATTTGCTCATATACAGAAGGTTATATTGACCTTTTTCAAAGCACAACCTACTTTGGCTGTCTATCTAAAGGACTACAAACTTCAGTCGAAATCTTAATTCTAGTCATTCTGCTCTAAAATCAAAGATACAGTAAGAGGAATCGAATCGTGAGGAATGCGAATAAAAAACCTATGTACAGCAGAGACCATAACTATCCACCAATTTAAGTATAGCTTTTGTGTACAAAAAACAGTGTTCAACCCCTCATTCTACAACAGCCTCAAATTTACTTTCTATGTTTCATAATCTTTCATTTTCTTTTTTCTACTCCTTTCCAACTATTTTTCACAACTGTTAATTAGCAGTTGTTACAACATTTAGTTATCCAGTTCTTAATATCTATCGAGTGAAGTTATCTTCACTATAACATTTTTCACTAGCCGTCGGATTATTACACAAATTTTAATATTTTCTTTTTCGTAAGCAATTTACGACACGATAACACTACGATTTTCTGAAAATTATTCAACACCATTTTGTTTGACTATAGACCGTTATTTTAACAAATAAATTGACCATACGTAGGATTGTATAACTTAATTAAGGGACACCACCAAAATGACGATTTCCTACGCTTAATCTCAACCACTCTGTGGGACTCGAACACGCGACAAATATTTTCACAGTTTGAGACGTCAAAAATCAGTTATCGTTTTACTATTTTTAGCACTATAAACTATTTATTCAATGCTCGATATATTTACAATTACGAAATGGAACATTCAGTGTGAAATCTATAAAATTCAAATACTTTATATTTTATACACATAGTTCGCTTTATTACCACACAGAGAGAAAAAACGAAGGTTGGTACAGAATAATATTGTTATAGAGCTCGGTTTTCTCTCGTCTTTACGAATGAGACGTTAATTTACCTTGGACGAATATCTACTCTAGATTCGCACCCAGTGTCTATTCTACAGGACTTCAACACAACTCAGATCGAGAACACGAGATTAGCCTGACTATAGCGTCAATATATTTCCATACTAAAGCCCGACACAATCTAATTTTAATGAACAACCAATAAATAATAAGGATAGGGGAATGTACAACTCATCTGGCACCCATCAGATTATCTACATGTCTGACTAGGAGGAACAACCAATCATTATCGCCAACATATCACCACCCTCGCGAAGTTTGATCGTATGACTTTGCTTTAGGGTCTACTTGAAAAAATCTCGTTTGTTTCCGTCCTCTAGAGATCTTCAGGTAGCATCTGATTTCAGCTCATTTTTTCTCATTTCAACTTGTGGTGGTGGCGGTGGGATACTAAATGTATCACATAATACTTCCATTGGTAAAAGTTTGAGTTTAGATGACTGATAAGCACTTTTTCTATCTCGCAATTGATTTATATGTCTAATAATTAGTGTATTTTCATCACTTCATACAATACTGTACCAGGTCGTTTTTTATACACTCAAATATCCATTTTGGCATGCCAGGCCGGAAATCGCGTGCATAGACTAAGTTACCTGCTTTGAATTCTTGAATTTTCGGTCAATTCCCTATCTTATTTTTTTGTAGTCCTCTCATTCTGTCTTTCGGGTTCAAAACATCAAAAAATGTTCTTATTGGTCGGCCAAACATTATTTCGACTGGTGATTTCCTGTCGTGACAGTTTGGATTCGGTGTAACTCTATAAGAAATTAGAAATTGTTGCAGTGCTTCTTCTACATTTCCTTCTCCTCCCATCTTTAAAAGAGCTCGCTTAAGAATATCAACAAGTTCCTCTGCTTGCCCGTTTGATTGAGGGTGATACGGTGGAGTTCTAATGTGTTCGATTTTATTTTGTTTACAGAACTCCGCAAACTCTGACGACGTGAAATGCGATCCGTTATCTGAAACCAAAACATTAGGTGTACCAAACCTATCAAATAGTTGTCTCAGATGTAGCAGTGTTTTAGATGTAGATGGTCTTCGTACAACATAAATTTCAGACCATTTTGAGTATGAATCAACCACCACCAAAAAATATTGTCCACTTATAGGTCCAGCATAATCAACGTGTAGTCGAACACAAGGCTTTTTCGTTTCTGGCCATGACTGGGGTTTTTTCGGTGTATTCAAAGGTAGATCCCACATCCAAATTTATCTATCTAACCAATACCCAATAGGTTGGTATGGGAGATCCCAGATACAAAACATCCTTCGGTCATAGTTTTGTCACCCAATGAGACATGGTGTCGGGGTATGAAAGAAAGCTGTAAAGGACTGGCTTCTGTTGGTCCTTCACGAATCCCAGGTTGGAGTCCTAGAGATGGTGCAGCACTGGCAAGAGACGTTATCAGATATGGCTCAGAATAGGAACCAGTGGCGATCCTGCTGTAACTTTATGTTACTTTCTTCATAAAAAGTGGTCGTAACCTCCCCAACTGAAAGAATTCTTCTGGCTGAACGTTTCCGTTTCTCCCATTAGTATCCTTATTATTACACTAACATCACTTATCTGTGATTGTTATTGTTCTCCATCTTTTTTCCTTATGCGCACCTTACCTTCTTTTTCTCTTCCCATTCTTATTATTTTGTGTGGCGCATATATATCTGGTGCCCTCTTGTACCAATATTTATGTGGTCAAACAAATAAATTTTGGTCTTATATTGATTGACCCTGTGACATCATTACCTTTGGATTTAGGTTGAATAAAAATAGGTTTTTCATTTACTGTGACATCAAAGGAAACCATAAACATCATTGTTTACAAAAATACCACCTCTTGAAACTGTAGACATAATTTGCCAGCATTCTGACATCCTATCTCGACCAGCATCAGAATTCAAACGACTGTTAATCATATGTACAAAAGATGATCAGTTGCAATTAAACATTATCATATACTGAAAAACCGATAGTGTAGAAATGCAAAATCCGTTAGGTCCTGTCCAGCCATTTACAAACAAAATTCCTATCTGGGTAAGTGCCTTATATCCGACACCATTGAACTCCACAGGTCACGGCATCTCACATTTATGTTTATCATTTAGAAAGTAAACATTTTTGAAATAGTTTGGAGAAAGTAATTAAAAATCCTGTACACACAGTAACAAAAAACTAACCATTTTTACACCTGAAACAACAAATTCAATCCAAGCTCTTGGAATTTGTTGTTGTTGTGTTAAATTAGATTCGTCCATTGTTATAGTGCCCGATGACTGACTGTTTTGAATCAATTCAGCGGTTTCATTATTTGCATTTATTAACTGATAATTTTCTAAGATAATTTGAACTTGACGTGAGTTCAAACTGACTAGATCCACAGTTAAATTATATAAGCTTTCAACTGAATTCATATCACACAGCATTAGATCAGCAGCCTTAAGATAACGAAAAGTATTAAAATTGATTAAACGGATAACTTGTTGCGAAAAGAAAGTCGTGATGAATGATTTCATCAGAGAAAAATAAACGTATTTCTCTCACACATCGATATCTGGTATTCACTTATGTGAAACCTTTTAGCATTAAATTTGATATATTTATTGGTTTCATGCTGAGAAAGGTATTTCGAATAGGGCAAACAGTTCAAAGTACAACTATATTATTATTATTATTATTATTATTATTATTATTGTTATTATTATTATTATACGCAGATACTTCGACACAGTCGAAAGTGAAGAAAGTTTACTGTTCTGACTGAAATGCTCCCATACGGCCATGAGTCTTTAATCTCTGTCAGAGAACTATTATTACCGAACGGCAATACGTGTGAACGAAAAAAAGCGAAACTTATGGAATTTAAACCAGGTAAGCAAATTGTTATATCGTGCGCGTGCCCAGTTAATATATGACGTTACACGACCACCAATTAGAGAGCAGCGAATTTATTGATCGCCTAATGATACACAAAAAACGTATGAGCAGTCTTGAGTACTACTCAGTCCTGCTTTCTGCCTAGCCCAGCCAGCTAAGTCCAGAGCACCAATAACAGCCTCTGAAATATGAATCATTATTTCAAACATACTGGATTTGTATACCAAACAAACTGACCATTTCTTACCATAAAATAGAAAATAACATTTGTACAAGGTTCGGCCAAATATGGCTGTGAATAAGGGGAACAGTAATCAATAGACTGGGTATAACTCAAGAATGGTAAATTGTATAATAATAGTTCATAGGTCAAAATAAAGCTTATGATAAGAGGAACACGAATACGAATATTTTAGTTACTTAACAACTATACAATAGGAAATATGCACATCACATTGGTCCATAAATAGTTCTCAAAGTTACGATTCATAATTCTCAACGGGATATAACACAAATACAGAGGATTTACCTGAGGGAGTTGAAAAACCCAGATTTAAAAACAATGGTGTATATGGCCTCCAGAATTGTAAAAGAACAAACAGAGTTTGAACTTATTTTTGTCAGCAGCTAGTATGCGACTGCATCAAACAAATACACGTTAACAAACTATATAATTTCCGACTTGGGAGCACTTGAAGATTATATGCTATCTGATCGAAAACACTACTGTTCACTTATATGTCTTATCTTAAACTCAAACTAATTCGAAATATCTGTTGAAGTATTACTAAGAATTCAGTCATGCGCCCGGTAATTATTGAGGATAGAATTTTAGATGTTATATTAGTCAAATAATTCCCTCTATGGTTATTACAGGATGATTTCGACCACTTTTTACCTATTGGGACAATAAGTGATTGTGACCAGTCAGATGGGATTACGTCCAATTCCGAGATACTAGCTAAAATATTAGTCATCCTAATCGTTAAGACTGGACCACCATACATAAAGACATATGGAGCTAATCGATCTGGACCAGCTGCTTTTCCTCATTTTAGATTAGCCATAACCTTTTGAACTTCAACTAGAGTCGGGCGATTTACTTCAATGTTTCATTCAAGCTGTCTGAGAATGGTGGGTAACTGTAGAGTAGCTGAACTGCTCCTTAAAGAGTTCCACCTATCGTTCTAAACGTCTGGGCTGAGACCATATACGATACGCAACATGGATTTCTTAGAAATCGATCCTGCAAGACATGTCACTTTGACTTCTTTTATTTAGTCTATTCTCTACGTAGCCAAGGATATCTAATATTAGTGCTATAACTCAAAATTTCTAAATCCTTCGACATGGTTAACCACTAACTTCTTATAAGTAAACTCGCATCTTATGGGGTCCAAAACCCTTTGCTTACTTGGTTTGATTCCTTCCTCAGCAACCGACATCAAATAGTTAAAATCGACTCTTCATTGTCGAACGCTGTCCCTGTTAGAAGTGATGTAATACAAGGTAGTGTCTTAGGCCTTTTGCTCTTTTAGTGTATATCAATGATATTTGTAAATGCTTTTGTGTGGGCAAGCCCCTTCTGTATGCAGATGATATTAAAGTACTGTATTCATTTTCTCCACATGGGCTGAACAATATTCAAAATTGCATCAGCATATAGCTTAACAAGGTATCACAGTGGTGCTCACAATGGCAGCTGGAGCTTAATTTAGTTAAGTGTGGATGAATATGCTTTGGTGATACATCATTCAACTTAGATCTTACCATAAATGGTGAAGTGTTATCTAGGTTACAAACAGTAGTAGACTTAATAATTAGGTACTCTTACGACTTGTCTTTTACTGAACAGATTAATGAAACAGACTTTCAAGTCTCAAGGTCTTATAAGGTGGATAAATCGAAACCTTTTTAACATTGAATAACTTATTTTATTGCACAAAGTTTGTGTTCGACCACTCCTAGAATACTGCAGGTTTATTTTTAGTAGTGCGCGCATAAGGGATAAATTAAAGCTGGAATCAGTACAGAGACTATCTACACTTCGTATTCTAGGAACTGATTGTACCTTGACTTATAAGTGTAGATGTAATAAACTTGAGCTCGACTCTTCATGGAAGAGAAGATTCAAACTAAATCTTATCTTCTTCTTCTACTTCTTCTTCAAAATACTTAATAAACTATCCTTTACATCCAACGAAGCAATCGTGGTTATCACTTATCGGTTGTCCGTACTATGGAAGGTTCTTTAGAGGTACCTGAAATGGAAATTGGGTTAGAGTTGGTCTTGGTGATCTGTGAGCGTGACTACAGTGACCAAAGGACAGCTGGTTGAGGCCAACCACACACGATATTTTTGTGGGTAAATCTTGTTTTAGCTCCGTACTTGTGGCAACCCTACAGCCGGAGAAGGATATTCGTCGGATAAGGCGCACTGGGTAACTGTTTGGTTCTTTTTGAGGAATCCTCAACATTGCCAACTTATGACCTCCATGTTTCACTACGAGAACCATACTTTTGACCACTGACAAGTAGTTTTGCGAACTTTGCTTATTCAAATAATAGAAATACTATTAACATACGACTTATCCGAACCACCAGGGTAGCAAGTGAGGCACCTTGTGTATCTTGTGTTATCCAAACTTAAAAACTCAAGTGATTATATACATAAAATGCACAGATCAAAAATAATCGATCGCGACAGGTACAGAAAACTTGTAAATTTATGACACAAAGTTGAGTAACAGGTTTGTAGTTAATCAACTGCATTTTAAAAACAGCAAAATATGACGCAACACCAGTCAGTTCTCAGTAGTACCGTGAATAAGATCAACCTCTGATGAATATAACCCATAAATTAGCCGTCAGTTAAATCAACAATTTATACAATACGTACAGAAACACACACAGACACGCAGACGTATATTTATGTAAAATAAAAATAGGAGCTTTAAACTAACCTGACTTATTCTTTGTAAGTAACATTCCGTAGCTAATCTTAACCCATGTGCACTAGCCCAATCACTTAAACATAAATGAATCCAATTATATAAGCATTTACCCCATATAGGTGAGATATGAGTGGAATTATTAATTAATTGATTTTTCTCACAATCATAGCCAATGATAAAATTGAATAGTCGTGCATTTAAACGATGTAATAAATGTGCAAACAATTGAACAATGAAAGCTGGGTTCACATAAGCTGAATGAAGACAATTTAATATTTCACTAAGTATTTTCAGTGTTATATTATGCTAAAATAAAAAACAGCGGGAAATACAATGAGATATTTGCTTGTAACAATAGAACAAAGTTTAAGTACCAACATCGAACATAGAGCATCAATAAGAAGAGGCGGATTACATAAGATGGTGTGATAATATATTAAGAATACATAAGATAATGAAAATGCATTTTCCGGAAGAATCAAAGAACAAGGATATAATAAGCGGTAGACAATGCAATTCGACTAAGTACAGAGTTAAAACGAACTGCTTTCAATTGTATAGTGTGCGCTAAATAATATATGGGAAAGTTTTATATCAGTATCGATATAACTGCGATATGAGGGGAAGTTAATTAGTAATGAGACACTACTCAACCAATAACCAGACAGCAAATATGAATAATTAACCATAGTGCGATAAGGATTTAGGGTCAGGGTTAGAATTAAGATAAAGTCCCACGATTAGTACATGTGTAACTTGTTCTAAAATCTTAACTGTGACTCTCTATCTAAAAAAGTACATAACAATTTTGAATCATGAACTTTAAATATACGTCTAAATACTAACTTTAGGTATCTAATGGTGCTGTCGCTATTGAAGCTAATCACCTACGTTTGATGGATAATATTCAGGTTTGATATATGCAGGGTGACTTTGAAGCAACGTGATTACTCTTTTAGTTCAGTTTTACAGCAGTGTCACCAGTGAGGTTATATAAAAAAATGAAAAACCAAATCACTGAGTTGAACGGTCTTTAGGAATTTATGTACCGAATCACTGTGGACTGAGATGTGTTAATCAAACGAAACCACTTTTTTATATTGTGGTGATATGGGGGCAAGTCAGTCATGTTCTAGATAGCAACTCCCTGTTTAATTGTGCCAACTTCAGAAAGTAACGGCAGTTACAAATCATCTTATGAAGAACATCGTAAACAAGACTTGTATATGGTACACTTGACGTATGTCACACACGGCCATTTTTGAATCAGGTCTCGATGTGCTAGCTCCGTTTTTAAGATCATACCGTTTGTGACAGAAATGGTTAGTTGAGGTGTGTTATTTTTAGGGCTGATATTTTTTAACCCTCTCATCTTGTTGTGGGAAGTAAACGTTACTGTAGGTATTTTTTTGCTGTTACACTTCATTATAACTAGCGGCACAACATCGTCCACGGACCTAACGTTGATGCTTATATTCTTAACGTTATCCAAAGAGACTAATCTGATATGGTAGGACTTAAAATAACAAATATTCCAGCCAATATAGCTCGATTGGCTCATCACAATGTACAAGCCTGATCACCAAATACATAAAGGGAGCAACTACAGTAGATGATTCAATATAAAATAATATTTAGCTATAATTTAACGTAAAAGAAACACTGTGACAGCTGTACTTGCACATATCATGCATTAAATTTGGAAACAAATGTTATTCAACTTTAACTTTATCAAACACACACACATTATAAAACACTACTAATAATTTTTATTAACATATGTATAAAATCAAGATGATAACACTAGAAAATGTTAATTTTCATTGTGCAAACTGAGAAAGAAGTTTTTTGAAGTGAAGAAGATAAAGAAGTGAGTGACTGATATCTGTATACTTACTGTTTTCAGTAAGTAGACTCAGACAGGAAGGAAAAACAATAAAAACATCGATCAAAGACCATATTGATTTGCATGTACATATACAATTGTATATATGTATGTACACGTGAAAGAGAGGAGATAAAAGTTGTTGATAAAATTTCATTTAAATAATTAAATATACAGACACATAAACACGTACAATGACAATATAAGGAATGAAAATTTTAAATTATTTGTCACACTAATAAAAATGTTAATTAGTTTTGTTCAAAACAATTCCAGAGTTATAGAAAGGTTTATTGTTAAAATACAATTTTAGGAAGTAAAACATGGTTACTAGTCAGTGCTTATTTATATAGTCACAGAGTAATCCTACAAGATTTCAGTAAGTTCCATTACAAATAGATTAGTAGTAATATCTCCAACGGAGATGCGAGTTTAGGTCTTACAGAAAGTATTAATTTTGCTTGTAAGATTGGAGGTATTCCTTGTTTTTAAGTGCCAACTAACATGAAACCTAGGCAAACGACTTTCTGTCAGTTGCTTCTCACCTTCAACCATATAGCGCTGTTATGAAAAATTCCATTTGCACATCAAAAAAAGTAACAAATTGACATCACACACTTCTTGAAAAACCAGTTATCCGCTGTTTCATTCGACCTTTATCTTATCACAAAAATATGAGGCTTACGTAAACATTACTACCTTCATGAACTCGTAATAGGAAACTTGTTTATCCGTCTGTCAGTCATCTACAACGTAGGATCAGGCACATACATACATCGGTCCAAGTTGCCATACCTTATCAGCACAACAAGATGAACACTAACTTCATAGAAGCAATTACTTCAAAGGTATTAATATATTTTGAAAAACGATTACATAAAAGGGTATGACACAGGGAGAAAGAATTAGTTCGTAGAAATAAAGGTATGAAGTCATTTTAATTTCACCGTTTAAGAGAAGACAAACAGTGTATACACCTACACTATTGTGATCGAGTCAGAGCTAGGTCATCCACAGGCTCTGATGTGAACAGAGAAACAAGAAGCCTTGACAAACTACAGAAGCTATTTTTGGAGACATTATTTCATTTAATTCAAAGCCTGTAAAACAGTAACATATGCCTGTCTCTAATCTATTCTACAGATCATAAGCTTTCGTTTGATGTATGATTCACTGTCAAAGGCCTTTCTGTTCCAAAGCTGTTGTAATTTAAACGTAATCTTTTGTACTCTAATTTCTACTCTGATCTTCCAGTTTTGGACATAATTGTATTTTCCTAATTGTTGTACGTTGTGGTCGGGTTAGTCATCTATCAATTCATGTATCTTTACACACTAATCTGAAATCGGGTACCAGATCGGGATATGTCTTATCTTCTATCTCGCGCAGGCCTGTCAGCCAATCAGGTGATAGAATAGTTTTCTTCTCTCTACCCCACTTCGAACTCACATATACTAGCCTCAAGGTTAAGCCAGTCAACCTATCGCGTCAAGATCCTAATCTACATTAGACAGGTTATCTTCGGCACGAAAGTGGGTAGACAGATCACGGACGTAACAGTCTCCAACCATTGGTTACGATAGTCACGCGGACCCCAACCAATTAGTTTGCATCTACCAACATGGGTCAGACCAGACAACCCGTTTATAATTGAAAACCAGTCTATTCATAATACCGACTAGTCGTCAGTCATTCATGATCAAGGAAGACATCTGACACATGTGTCCATAAGCCTAAGTACGATGACATGAAGTGTTGTACAAAATAAAGAAGTCGAAGTTATATTAATATCAATGATCATAAGAGAGGGAATCAGAAGTATTGGTCACTTACAACAGTTATAAAAAGAGCATGATGAATATGTGGGTGTATACCTTGGCAGAAAGTGAATAGGAACACCAAGCCATCTCTTAAATTGCCACTACTTTTCAAAAAGTTGAAAATAAGAGGAATCATAAATGAATGGAACAACTAATCAACTACTAATATTAATGTTAGTAAAATAAAACAAGAAAGAAAAACTAGATAAAGTTATGTCAATAATTGTTGTATTTGTGTTACCTTCTGTTCGGCCTTTCGTTTTAAAATATTAAAATAATGTGGTAAGAATTTGAATTATCTATACTAAATGTTATGAATTGACCAAGGTCATCGCCAATTTGTTATGACTTTACAAAATAAACAAAGGACGTATCCTAATTCGTTATTCGTTTTTATGTCCGGCTTTTATTCACATGAACTATCCACCAATCGAAATACGACTTCTTCGATCTTAACACTGTGGCAATCAATGGCGTTCGATCAGTATGAGTAATCTAGCGTCCTTATTGGTCCTTTGTCCGCCTAGCCCTTCCACTTGAGTCCAGAACACCAATCACAGCTCCAGCTATGCGAATATATGCCAATCGTTTATTTCAAGCATACTCGGTTTATATACCAGACAAACAGACCACATCGTAACATAAAATAGGAAATAATATTTGTACGAAATCAAGCCAAATGTGGCTGTGAACGTGGGAGACAGTAAACAATAAACTGACTATAATTTAGGAACAGTAAATCGTATAATAATAATCAATAGGTCAGAATGCAGCTTATAATAAAATGAATATAGATATACATAATCTAGTTACTTAATAGTTATACAATAGGAATATATACAGAATAATAGACCATTTATAGGTCCCGGAAATTATCTGTACCTATGTTTTCACTAGGATGTAACACTAAAGATGATATTTATCATTATACTTATTGAGGAAGTGACTACCTATTTAGACTGAATGGCTCAGTATATAACGCGCTGAGAGGATTTGAAGCGTCAGGGATTGGGGGTTCGGATCCTAGTGTGAAAATCAACAATAGGAGTTAGGTGCTTGTTCTACTGACGAGTAATATACATAGAACGGAAAGTGAATCTTGTAAATTTTGTAAAAAGAACTCACTTGACTATTCAACACTTTACTATACTGTTGTTGCTTTTCTGAACAATGACTATTCGAGTTGATCCATGCTCTTTCATTTATTTCAACAGAACTATTAATATTATTATCCAGCGATTGTTGATCGGGAAAACAGGAGTCTTTTGATGTGTTACTATCAGTCATGCAGTTCTCATAATGATGATTTGATAAAATTTGTACAGATTTAGTTAAATACAATAATAATTGTGGTATCGCAATTAAATCTAATCGAAGTACACAAAGGTCAGCTAAATAGACAAACGCAGTTTGGACGATTTCAGCCAATTGTTCTTTCAACTGATTCCATGAAGTAGTAGTAGTAATATTTGACGATTTAACAGTATTATTATCATCATGACCGAATGAATAAGGACTCCATTGACACAGCTCATCAACAGGAAACTGCATACAATCAAAAAAAAGGATCAGATGAAGAATGATGATAAATCGGGAGAATATACAATGAGAGAAAAAAAATTAAATGTTTATTCTAGGTGATTAGAGGGAGTTAATAGGAAATATTAGTTGAACTAGAGGATTCTGCGCAAGTTAACAGTCGTCAGAATAGTATACCTGCACTATTGAAGAAATTAATAGCTTTTAGTAAATTTGAATCTGGGTCACTAAGTTTCATAGTCTGAGATGTTGCCAGTAAGTTATTCAAGCCACGGTTGAACTCATGTAGCATTAAAATAAATACAACTGACTGATTATTAAATAGAAATATTCAACAATATCACATTCGTCTAGGTGTTTCGGTGATGATCGAATTCTACGGATTAAGTTGGGATAATTTTTACTTGTTTAATTGGCTGAATATACCATGTACTACCAAATCATCTGAACCAGTGACAGGTATAAATTGATCCATATAATTTGATCAACACAACAAAGACTGGACAAACATGATATTGATTACTATTCAGAGATTAATAAATTACGAATATTTAGAGTACTAAGTTATGAGAATAATATCGTTCAGTAGGATTTAACTGTGATGATTTGTATTGACTAACAATAGAAGTATACATAATTTGTGTGGTAAATGCTATGTGGTCAAAAAATTACCAGCACAGGAAATCATTTAAAAATAATCGGTATTTGTTAATCCAATCCAAATAATTTACAGACAATGAATAGAAGTTTTTACCAGTACGGGGTTGTAAAGATTATTAAGTTTTCGATTGAGATCATGAATCGATTGACGTTAGATCACCATTAAAAACCTGGAAGTATTGAAGCGCCCGTCTAATGCTTCCAGGTTTCCAATGGTGGTCTAGCATCAATAGATTAGTGATCTCAATCAAAAAGAGTAAAAGTTTATTTAATTCAAAGTAGCTGAAACATTTAGTCAGAAGTAAGACAGTTTAGACGACTGAACTGTTATAAAAGGTTAATTATTTCGGAATATAGATGATGAAAGCTATTAGATATATATTTAAACGTCATCTAATGTTCTCAAAATTAACTAAAAAGTTAACGGTAATGCTCACGACCAACTTTTATTGCCTACAGTGGGTAGCTATCATATACTCAAAACTGATTGAACCCGATTGATCGCAGTTTATAATAACTGGAATCTGCTCTCAGAGTTGATCATTAGTGAGATCATGACTATTATATTTCATTGAAACCATGAACCGATCAAAGTTAAACCACCATTGAAATGCTGGAATTACTGAACCGCCATTTCGTTCTAGTATGGGACTTCTCAACAGTGCTTATCTACGAACCCGCGTGCAGAACTCGAACACAGGACCTTCGATCTCGCGCGAATGCGTAACTTTCAGACCACTGAACCGGTATTCAATGATGTTAATATCTAAATTTGTGGTCTAACATTGATCGGTTCATCATTTCAATGAAATTCAACAATCTCCACAACCCCTTATTGACAATTATTATGTGCAATTATAGCCATAGAATAAACCATTATCCAGTATATTTGTCCTAAAGTTGATAGAAGGATATCTCTCTTACATTAATAGCGACACAGGTTGAATACTGTCACGCGTGCTTTCCGAATCCATGCCAAGATGTTGTTAGGCACCAACCCGTTGAGGCTGGTGAAACTCTCAAGACACAGATCAGTCCTGAGGCAATATCTTCGATTTAGAAGGATAGAAATGCATTCGGAACATAATTACTGATGGAAAAACTAAGTAAAGGTACAAGTAATGGAGAGTTTCTGTGTACTCTTGAAGTTCACATGAAATATATTCTATTACCATTGCGTTTTCATCACTGATACGAATATCCTTCATTCTACTAATAATAACTTTAAAAAAAATCTTTTGTTATATATATAACACCCTTTGACCTTTGGAACAACAACTAGTACATATCAAGGGGGGTAGAGTGGCTAAGACAGATCATTTTATATAGATAGAGGGAGAAAACATCTATCGCATAACCGTGAAGGAAAAAGAAAATTTAACGAGACTTAAATAAGAACATAGAAAGAAGATGAATACATGAAGGCAAAAATTTTCTCTTAAAAACGAACAATAAATGATTGATGGGGTAATAAATGGGTCTATTTTGCAATTTTTCTATGTATCTATGTTTGAGTGTGCATGAAGGTACGTGTGGTAACAACTTGTTACATACATAGTATATAATGGCTACTTATTATTCTTTTTGAGTATCTAAATGACCATTTGTTGTTAGTTTATGCTTTTATGTAGTTTGTGTGTCTGTTTGGTCATCAAATTCTCAGTAGACGAAAATAGTAATAATAATAATAATAATAACAGTAGTAGTATTAACGGTAAATTACTAAGCACAAAGACGTAAAAGACACTAATTTACAACTGAATGACTAATACGTACTAAATTAATAATTGTATCTGAATTCATGAGTCAATTGAACCTAGACGACCATGAAAAATCTGGGATCACTGGACGACCGTTTCGTCCTAGTATGGGACTCCTCAGAAGTATACATCCACAATTCCGCTCCGCGAGATTCGGACCCAGGGCCTATCAGTCTCGCACGCGAACGTTTAACTTTTAAGCCACTTAGCCGACATCCAACGGTGTTAATGCCTAAATTTACTAGTGACTGGCTTCAAGAGGTTTTTCCTGAAGTTTTAGTGAGAAGTAGTGACCAGCGGAGTTCAACTGCGTCTGCTGTGAGATAGCGACTCAGTGAAGTCAATGGTAGACCATGGCTCAATTTCGTGGATCGGTTGAAGTTAGACATTAACACCGCTGGATGTCGGCTCAGTGGTCTAAAGGTTAAGTGTTCGAGCGCGAAACCGATAGGTCCTGGTTTCGAATCTCACGAGGCGGGATCGTGGATGAGCACTGCTGAGGAGTCCCATACTAGGACAAAACGGTCATTCAGTGGTTCCAGCTTTTTTATGGTGGTCTAGCTTAAATTGACTCATGAATTCAACTATAAAACTACCAAAGTCTTCACAAAACCTCTTGTGATAATAATTATATGCAGAAGTGGGTTCATGTACGTATATGTTTTTGCAACCGTATGTGTACAAGTCTTATATTTGACTAACGAAATAGATAAATAAATAATAATAATGATAATAAGCGTAGTAATTACCGGATATTACGTCATAAGGAGCATGAAACGACCTCTTAAAAATTCACCTCTTAATTTATTTAAATAGTTAGATTCATGAGTCGATTAAAGCTAGGTGACAATTGAAAACGGCCATCCAGTACTTCCACGCTTTCAATGGTGGTCTTATTTAAATCGACTCATGAATTCAACTATTGAAGTTACTACCATCTCCACAAATCTCCCATTCTTGATTGACTGTATGAAATTTTTGTATTAATGAAGCATTGTTGTGATTTAAAAAATAAGACCAAAACTAAATAATGTTTGAAATGAAAATTTTAAAACAAAGGACGAATGAAAATAACAAAAAATGAATAATCAGTGAACACGTAAAAAACAAAACTAGTGAATTATTCATCAATGACATCAAAAATAAGCTTTATCACGGCAACAATATGTTGAAAAACAATAATACAATCAAAAGACGGTAAACGTATGTCATACTGGGGACCATGAGAGGCTTATCAGCCAATCTGGCAACGCTGAATACTTCTAAAACAAAAAAATGGTGAGACTAAAATATATGAACGAACTAATGAGATTTAAAGTAGCAAGTCATAGATTTTAACAAAAAATTCATTTCTGTTTAGAAATTTGAGAAACTTAAAGTCGAGATTTAGAGTAAGAGGGGTAAGAAGATAGGAAAATTATCTAGCTTCACTAATTAATTTTGATTCCGCAGTGAACGACATCAAGTACTTTAACACACGATATGCATTGGGAGTAGGTATGTTGTATAATTTAGCTTACGGGCTATCTAAAATCCACTTCTTGGTTGTATAATAGATATTTCTATCGATTTCAAACATTTTAAAAACTAAGTATCACCGATTTTCACTTGGTTAATTTTTCTAAAAATCTACCACTCTACTTTACATTTCGTTCAAAATACGTAAGACGTTGTTTAAATTTTGATTGTTTAACTACAAGGCTGTCAGTATATCATACTTTTGCCCCAAAAGGAAGCAACATATAGTGACTTGATTGGTCAATAGTCAGTCAATCAGAAGAAGGGGGTTGAAGTTGTTTTCTCAGGAAAAGAACCAATGATAAATTACACTAGGTCTAATGGATAACCTTTATTAATAAACTTGGATAGTGAGGAACGAAAATAGACTTTTCAATTCAACAGTCCAAAAAACTGCTAATCGATGAGTAAGTGAGAAACGCACAAAACACGACACTGAATTCCTTAATATGTAATATATGGATTTATACGTACATGTTATGAATATCAAAACAAAACACGAGTTAGAATTCACTTAGTATTGTTTGTTTGAATCTTCTCATTGATGCTTAGGACTGCGACTGGTCAGTCTCTTATTGGCATATGTGCATACTGTGCGTATTGCCCTAATTCACAAAGATTATACGCAAAGATGGATAATGGCTAGCAGTGGAATCCAGAACGCGCGTTTCGTCCTATTTGGGACTCGTCAGCTGGATGTACCTGCATCTCAGAGTTGATATTCACTCTGGGACTCAAACTCAGTACCTTTCGCATCAAACGCCATCGCGTTATCCACTCAGCTACTTAGTCCTGATAGCCGCTTGCTTGTGCAGTGGGGTGAAGTTTGAATTCCCTTAGTATTGTTTGTTTGGATAACGCGATGACGTTTGAAGCGAAAGGTACTGGGTTGGAGTTCCGAAGTGAACATCAACTCTGAGATGCAGATACATCCAGCGTCCTGGATTCCACTGCTGGCCACTATCCATCTTTGCTTATAAAACACGAGTTATTCATCACAACGCATTTATCTAGACACTTGAAAAATACTAGTCTTGATGCAATAATTTTTCGAGTTAACAAAAAAACGTACCTTGAAAGTTGCATTGAAATCAATATCGCAAGTTATTAGATGAAGTAACTGACTAGCATTAGCTAACCAAGCTGTGACAGATTTTATCAGATCGATAAATTTTCGGTCTACATCACTCAACAAAGGTGGCGGCAATGATTTCGTTGTTGTTGTTGAATAGTTGCGTTCAATTTCTATATCTGAGTAGTTTAAATCAATTCTTTTTATGGATTCATGCACATACAATTCAAAATCATGAAATCTTTTAATAACACTCATTAATAGACTCAGCAAATGGCGTTGTCTACGTTTGAGCTGATTTAAGGCCAACTCACCATTATTAGTCTATAGAAAAATGAAGAAAAATAACACAAGAAATCTGTTAGTGACAAGAATTATTTGGTGATATAAATAAGAACATGTTGCCGCGCTCTTTTATGGGATGATATTTTCCTTTGTAAGAATGCAGTAGTATCATTGTAGATACTAGTGTTATAAGAAAAACGCCATACTGGTGACAGTGAAATTTCGTCTTCAGACTGTCAGTTTGCCAATTTAATCTTACTGACCCAAAAATAAACTGCTTCGTATGGCGGAACTTAAGTCAAATTTACCAGCCGATATACCACGATGAGGTCATCACAATGGGCAGACGCGACCACCACATCGAGATGGCAGCTACAGTTGAGAGACAAACAAGGAATGTGACCAATGAGCTGAATAAAATGTGATGCGAACTTCCGCAGATATATATATATATATATAATATCCCGAAGAGAATTATGAATGGTAACTTTGAGAACTATTTATGGACCAATATGATGCGTATATTTCATATTGTATAATTGTTAAGCAACTGAACTATTCATATTCATGTTCCTTTTATTATGAGCTTTATTTTGACTTATGGACTAATACTGTACGATTTACCATTCCTGAGTTATACCCAGTCTATTAATTATTGTCCCTTCTATTCACAGCCACATTTGGCCAAATCTTGTATAAATGTTATTTTCTATTTTGTGGTACGAAGTGGTCAGTTTGTTTGGTATATAAACCCAGTATGTTTGAAATAAATGATTCAAAATGCAGAGGCTGTTATTGGTGTTCTGAACTTAACTTGGCTGGGCTAGGCAGATAACAGGACAGAAAAGTGCTCTAGACTGCTCGCACAGGTTTTGTGTGTCATTGGGTCGATCAAGAAATTCGCTGCTCTCTAATTGGCGGCATCGTCACATCCTATATTAACAGGGCACTCGGTTGTCACAAGGTATAACAACATGAACATGCAAAAAATTTGATTGGCAATAGCTAAAAAAATTTCATATCATAAATGAGGCATAAATCAATAAAACGACAAGACAGGATAAACTTATCAAGAAATTATCTACATTTTTTTTTAATAAATGGTTTTTTCCCTTGGTTGTTTTATTAGTATCTACTTTACGATCCGCGTTTTTTGCCAACTGTTTCAACTCAATTGTTTCCCAACGATCACATTGCCGACATATAGCTCGTAGCATTAAATAAACACACATAGCTGGACCTAGAGGACACAGATCAATAGTTACATCGGATCGATTATTATTATTTGTAGTAGTGGTAGTAGTCGTATGATGATGAGAGTTTCTTAGCTGGTGTACAAATTTTAATTGCTTAGTAATAATCCAATCTAGTAATTGTTCCAAAGTTGTAGGAGCAAATGCCATTTGACAAGGTAAACGATCAGAAACGGAGGTTTTCGGACAAGTTGAACCAGGCTTGTTGTTATGAATAGGTGGATCAGTTTTTGTTATTACTGAAAAAAATAATAAGGTGAAAGGCATTGTTCCAGAAAATTCGGAGAGCTAGTGTGTAAAACACAAAAGGGTTAGTATAAATGCAAGCCCAAATCCCTTAGATATGAAAATTGTGTGATTTATGTAATTTGCCAAGAATATTATTTATAAGTAACTATTGTCTCAGCAAGCTATTTTCTTCATTTGTTTTTTTACTTAATTAATTAGGACCTATCTAGCACCTTTGAAAATCTAGAAGCAATAGAGTGCAGTCTCATCACAATGTGGGGAATTCTCAGCAGTGTGCATCCATGATCCCACAAGCGAGAATGGAACCATGGACCTTCGGTCTCGTGTGCAAACGCCTAACGTTTAGATCATTGGGCCGCCATATGATGACGCACTTGTCTACCTTGATTCAATTCATGAAATCGCGCAACCACATTCCTCTGCCTAGGGTGGATAACTATCCCAAACCCAATATGATTGAACTCCAATGGCCACGAATTTCTGTTAGAACTTCAGAAGTGATTAGGAGGTTAAGTGTTCCCGTGGAGAATGAAGGTCCGAGGTTTGATTACTGGTTGCAGCGTCGCAAAGGCGCACTATTGAGTAGTGCAGTACTAGGGTGAGACGGCTTTCCAGTGTTTCCTGGTTTTCACTGGAGGTCTACCTAAGATCAGTTCGTGATTCAAACTATGAGAATTGTACAACTGCCGCAAATACGGTTATACTTTTTTATTTAGTTAATTTAAATATAAGCTAAAAACAATCATGACGAACTTCAACCGGCTGTTATCCAATCAGTTAGAAAACACCTTTTGTAAAAAACAATGATGTTACAAGTAACAAACATATTTTCATAGTTGATGAATATTTTAACGTCTTCTACAGGTTATTCTGTCTGTAAAATACAAAAACGATGAAATTTATTCATCCTCTTTCAATCTTGTAAGGACGTAAATAGAATATTATTCCTGGTTACGGTTAGGACTTTCATCATTGAACTAATATCTCAAATGCAGAAAGGCTTTATAGCCACTTTACAGATGTTCGAATTTTGAGCAAAAACCCAAGAGATGCTACCTCAAATCGGATTGTTTTGTTCATGAAATATAGTGCCAGTGGGAGAAATTTTGTTTCAAGATTAACGGGTTAGGATTAAGATTACGGGATAATGTAGATTTGCCTATTATATGCAACCTACATGGGGAGAATCGAAACTTTTATATGACACCATTATTCTTAATTTATGGCTGCAAATCAATATTTTCGCTATCATTTTAAACGTTTTGAGAATTGTAGAAATATATTTTCATTGCTTCATTTGACGTGATATAAGATAAAAATCGTTCGCTTTTGAATTTCGCGCAAGAACTTGAAAGTCACTTTTCAATTCTGCTCAGCCTGTCCTTCCCTACCATACTTTTACACTTCCTTAATGTACATAAAAAGATATAGAGTGGAGAAATTAACCATAAGACAAAACACATGAACAGAAAACAATGAACTTATCTTACCAGAATAAATTGTATTAACAAGATTTGATGATCCAGAATCTATAAGAACATTAGTAGATTTTAGATTTGTTGATGGTATTGTATTGTTATTGTCATGATCAAATAATTGTGGAGATGGACAGTTGTTATTCTTGTTATTACCATCATTGACAGAATAGGTATAAGTCGCAGACTTATTGTCTACTGTAAAACAGCTATCAAAGGAATGTGGTTTATGATTAACACGTGCAGTAGTGGTAGTAATAGTAGGAGTAGTGATGATATTTTCAGTTTTACTATTCGCTAGATTCATATTTGAATGAAGATCAAGATCATTCTGATGATCCTTTTGATGTTGTGGAACGTTTAATTCGGCAGTATTGATAACTTTCAATGAGAAACAAGTTGAATCGTTACAAACTGCTTCAGATGTTGAAGTAAATGATGATGTTGAATGACAAATAGAATTTGGATTAGCCATAAGGCATAGTCTATTTAAAAAATTATGCTATAAATAAATGGATAAGTTGGTAAATATATTATTAAGAGTGATAAAGAAAAATGTTGAATAATTTGAAAATATCTTTACACACTAGTGAGTTATTTAGTATTGTATATTTGATGTTTTGTAGCATCTAATTGTTGTTAGTTCATAGCAATGCGTACGTTTTTTATGAAGGATACAGTAAGGAAGTTTTTAAATAAGTCATTCGCTTATCCGTTTAAGCATCGATTTAATAAAGAGTTGTTACTCATATTCTCGGAATAATTAAAAAATTTTCTGATGGGTCAGTCGGTAGATGCATATTGATTGGCACAATCAATAATCTTTTCAGACTGTGAATCCCTTAATTTCAATCGGAAACATTTTAAAAGATAACTAACAGACAGCTGACGATACGATATATCTATGAAGACATTATTGGTCGATATACATGTGTCGACGTATGCTTCCTAGATGCGATTCCGTATGGTAGTTGTGATGTACGGTTGGCAATGTTGAGTAAAACGGTCATATAGTGGTCGCAGTGGTGTAGTTGCATTTGTTCTACAACTTCTAGATCTTAGATTGTGTTATTCAACTTTTCTTTTCTCATTTTCAACTGCTCAACTAATCACTTAAATTTTTGTTGATAGTATTGTAGTGAACAGAACACAACTGGGGACAATCGAATGTATTTAAGCGAAAATTACAGTCTATCTCAGTAAATTCTGAGAACCATACAATGGACAGTTAATTTGCAAATTAACAACCAATAGTCTTGATCTTCACTGTTTCTTCTCTAATTCCATTCTTCGTGCATTTTCCTACCAATTGCGCTTCATTTCAGTTCTTTCCTCATCGGTCTTCTGCCACAATACATTCTATGTCCTACCAACACCATATACTACTTATATGGATATAAGTAGACCACACCACAGTATTAGCTTTCCATTAGCTTATATTTTAATATCCCTTTTAGCTGTGGCGATGTGAGATGTCAAGTAGAACCGATACATATTTATAGCTTTTAACATAAATAAAAGTGGTTCAAAGTGTAGAACACAAATTTGGAATAAGTTCTCAGAACGAAACGGAAAGAGGTGTTTGACTGTATACAACGTTAAAGCAGTGGTTAGCAGGATAGTCCTGACTATCGCATGCTTTGACCTAGCTCAAATCGCAATGCTCTGACCATTTCATTTTAATTAATCAGTGTTGATGGACGAATCGAGTGAAGTATTGTTCAAGGGATATTACACAACCTCGTTAATTGAATTAGAATAATAAGAGCGAAACTGAAACCTGGATACTTAAAACAATCATGTCCGACAGCCGTTAAGATATGAACACTTAGTTTTTAAAAAAACTAGTCGTGCGAGACTTTTTTTGCTCTATTTATACTGAAGTATACGAAAATCATTATGGTTACGTCTCTCTGAGATAACAATCAGTCAAAAATTGTTGTTTACATGGTATCTTTATAGAAATATCGTAAGCTTTATATTAAGCGTCAGATTTCATGATGCTACGCTAACCAACTGTATGTATCTTGCTAAACCACCTACAAATCCTGAAGAACTGGAAAAACTTTAAACTATACCAGCGTGACCTTTTCAACAACCATAAAATCGATATTAAAAACATCAAAGTATTACAAAAAGGCTTTTCTAGGTACAAAAAAAGCGAGTAGCTGAAGTTTTCTATATATTGCTTCATCCTACTGCCCTCAATAGAGAAAAAAGTCGCACTATCTATCCGACTTGGACTATCTCTCCAAACTACCATGTCTGATTCTATTCACATTTCACATTATTATCGTGCATGCAAATTAAAATGTCCTTTATCATCACAGCCCCCGAATGTCCTGGTACGGCCGAGAGTGGGGAGAGTCCGCTCTCCCTCTTCAAATGCTCTCACAAGGCCATGCGTATATAGCCTCTGTCAGGGAAGTCCTACTCACTGCCTTCTCGTGGCACTACTGTTGTTCACGAAATTGAGAGGACGGGAAGCGAATGTCCGGCGCTTTAACCGGGTTGGTGGAAACGGACGGTCCACCTAGGAGAGTTGGAAAACCCTGATTCCAAACCAGTGGTGCATATGGGCTCCAGGATCCTGAGAGAACGAATGGCGTATGAACCAATTGTTGGTCACCGGCTACCACGTGACTGCATCTCCTCCTTTACCAGAAATACAAACATGCATCATATAAATCACCTTGACCGGTATGACATGACACTGACTTGATGAAAGCGGTCTTTGATTGATCGCACTAATATTCTTACTTAGTCCATAAATATATGCGAAAAGTTACTATTAAATATTCTCGTCGAGGTGGGTGGAAGTCAGATTCAAGACGTAAGTCCCGTCCTATTTGGGAATCGTTAGCCGGATATACCTTCATCCCAGAATTGAAATGCACTCTAGGACTCCAACCCGGAGCCATCTGCTTTAAACGCCATTGCGTTATCCACTTAGATGCTCAGTAAAGATAACTAAAAGCTTGTGGGATGGGTGGAGTTTAATTCATTTTATTGATTGTTTGAATCTTCCCGAAGGTCTGCAATTGATCCGTCTCTTTTGGCAGATGTGCAGGTTGTCATGTCCTTTTCTACATTATATATATATATATATATATATATATATATATATATATATATATATATATAATATACTATCCCTATAGAGAGATACATGGGGTTGAAAAGTTTCATAAAAGATAAAGCAACCAAACTTTAACATAATCGCAAAAATATCATATGGAGGTAAAGAAAAGACTTCAAATGGCGTATTGCTTCCCGGTATTTTTCACTAATGACAACTGGATATACCGGTATTCACTAATCACTGATGTTCAATTTAGAGCCTAAGCATAATATTCATTGTTGATCTAAACGCCTCCAAATGCCCTGGTACGGCCGATAGTGGAGAGAGTCCGCTCTCCCTCTTCAAATGCTCTCACATGGCCATGCTAATATATAGCCTCTGTCAGGGAAGTCCTACTCACTGCCTTCTCGTGGCACTACTGTTGTTCACGAAATTGAGAGGACGGGAAGCGAATGTCCAGCGCTTTAACCGGGTTGACGGACACGGACGGTTCACCTAGGAGAGTTGGAAAATCTTGATTCCAAACCAGTGGTGCATATGGACTCCAGTATCCTGAGGGAACAAATGGCGTATGAACCAATCGTTGGTCACCGGCTACCATTGCTTGCATCTCCTTACGATGCTCCACTGTCTTGTGGATCAGACCTGTAGATCAAAGGCTCCGCGTGTGCTTCCCTAAGAAAACCACGTCCTTTGGTTTGGGCACCTGGGTAGTATCACACCTCTAACACAAATCAAATGAGATTTGCGTGGCGCACATGTATCTGGTTCGCCTTTGTATCAATATTTCTGTGTTGGAAATTATAAATTTTCCATAGCTCTTACTGTTCTAGTAGTACAGTGTACTTTGTACTTAGAAACATAAGTGTTCATATATATATATATATATATATATATATATATATATATATATATATATATATATCCAGACTGATTAGGTGTAAAATTGTTTTCACATTATGTTTATTATTATTATCCTTGTCTATTCTTAACCCTAATTCCAGTCTCGTTGACCTTTTATTTTTATATATAAATGTTCTTAACCGGTATATGTGTGATCAGATTGTTCGAAATGTATTGCGCTAATATATCACATAGTTCTGATAATCTTCGTCTTCTTATTACAGTATCATAATAAAAGAACAGTAAAAAGGACTGATACAACATTATTGACACTCAAATTGTATCATTTTTCGAGAAAAGAACAGATTTATAGCTACAAATAGTACAAATTCGATATTTTTAAAAATTGATATATACTTATCTTGTGTTAGTGGTGAATAATTGATGTATTCTTTTTGTGTGTAAATGTATCTCATCAGGTGAAATACTCCAGATTAAAGTAGGGAAAAGGTGTTATGCAAACAAATTTATTTCACATATTTTTTTTTTGGGGGGGGCTTTTTATCTATGACAAACTTGTTAGTGTGTAACGTAGGGTAGAAATGAATAAACTTATGTGTTAAGTTTTATTTACTTATTTAGATGTATAAATATTGGTACAAACAGGCACCAAATACATATGCACCACACAATAACAATGAGGCTGTGAAGGAGAATGTACTGTGCGTATAGGAAAAAGGACAACAACAATTTATACGTGTAACAATAGCTTATTTAAGGTATGATGAGATGGGACATATTCATTTATATCCACTACAGCAACGTTTTGTCTTCATCTCAAAAAATGCATTTAAAAGTAGACATACTTGTGTGTTATTTTGAAAAAAGATTTTGTATTTTTCTGAGTTTCCAAAACCAGATTTTCGTAGGTTGCATCACAAACCGATTTCAGTTACACCACCATTGAAAAATAGAAATCGCCTTTCCATCCTACTATGGGTTCCTTCGGGAGCGCGCATTCACATAGGGACCGGGAGTCGAAACCAGGACCTCCGGTAAGGCGCGCTAGAGATTATCAACCTCTTGGTCGCTGAGTCAGTGAATCAAACTATGAAAATCACACAATCTACACAAATCACCTTTATTAATACCAATCGTGTGCCCACTAGTGAGTAGATTTAATATGTAACTTCTGAAGTTCTAGTGAGAAGCCTTAGACAGTCGAGTTCAACAGTGCCGAGTATGAGACAGTCATCCACCGCAGGAAAGCGATGGGGGTTGCACAAAATTGTGAATTGATTGACTGTATGGGATGTTAGCTTAGTGGTCTGGAGCTTAAGCCTTAGCGTGCCGAACCGAAGGGCCTCGGTAACTCTTCATCACATTGTGAATTAGTTGGTTAATTCATTTTTTGTCAATCTGTTCTTAATATCAGTCAGTGGTAGTTGATTATTAAGAACAGGGACGAAATGCGTGTGGTTTGTTCATGGTAAAGGAACCGATGCATATTAAAATAAATATTACTAGAACCAACCGTTAGGTGCGCAATGTTGTCACTGCATACATGTAGTAGAAGA